TCATTCTACTTACCTTAAATATGTTATTGCACCATATACTTTCATTCCTGAACACAGGCAGAATTTAATCTAAGGAGTCCAGGGAACTTACGTCTACAAATACTTTTAAATTATGCCTAAATACAATATTTTTATAGATATTAAAAGTATTCTGACCCTGATTATGCAAAAACATGCATATCCATTTAACAGTAGTCCCATGAGCAATAGTTTGTAGTTTAATTTTTCTGCTCATGCACAAGGTAAACTCTTGTGCATAATTTTGTGGAGGTATGGAGCCATTTCTGTAAGTTTGAAGTCACAAATTCAATTCATCAAAAAAAACCAACCCCTTGAAAAGTCATCTACATCATGGTTCTGCGCAGCATCAGAAAGATGTACTGCACCGTTACTGCTATTTCCATCGTATTTGTGCAATGTAAGCTCCGTGAAATACACAGCATATGCAAATAGTGTTGGTCTGCTGTGGCAATGTAGGGCATGTTAGAAACTCACCATTCACTTACTGCAAGTGAACTTGAGAAATATATACAGAAAATAGGATTACACTGCACTTACATTCCCTTACCAAAGGTAAAGAAATTGGTTTGAGCCATGTTACCTTAGATTTCTCAGGGTTGGCAGTCCCCCAAAATATATTTTCTCATGCCCTTTCAAGTTGAGTCCAAAGTGGCTGCCTGTAGAAGTCGTTGCTATGGTCTCTTCTTCATTGGTGTCTATGTCTACAATTGATACGTTGGCTGGAAGAGATTTGAGAATAGTTTCAAAATATCAGACACGAACAATGATGTATTAATGTAAGAAACCAACAGGGAAATATTTGGAGGGTTAGCAGGTGAGAGGAGAGGCAAGGAGGGTTGCATTGTGCAATCAAGAGACTGGATTTCCTACTTGTTAATTATGGGCAGGGGAAGGGACCCACACTTCCCTCTGTTTCCATAACAACCTGAAAAGCTATAGCGAATCTGTATGCTTTATTTTTGTATTTTCTCTAGACCTGTTTCAATTTAGTATGTTCTTTGTGCCAATGTAATTTGGAGCTAACACTTCAGGACAAATTCAAGACAGAAGAGATCATTTTACATCTAATTTGTGATTTCAGTCCAAAGGTTGTCACTTGAGCAGGAGTTTTTAGTATAAAAGTTTGTTAAGCATTGTCATTATGCCTTAGAGACTGGTGATCAGTCACTCTCAACCATTTTCAACCCAAAGCAGTCAGTTGCTGTCATGTCTAATCTCAATCTGGAGTCAGTGATGCACTATATACAACCACCTTATTTAAATGCTTGTTCTGTGTATATTTTTAATGTATGGATTAATACAGAATGCAAGGCTCAATGAGAGAGACGTGACATGCTGAAATGTGCTGAGCAGCCCCCAAGGAAGAAGAGGATATTCTACCATAGAATGCAAAGAAAGGGTTCCTTCCTTCCTTCCTTCCTTCCTTCCTTCCTTCCTTCCTTCCTTCCTTCCTTCCTTCCTTCCTTCCTTCCTTCCTTCCTTCCTTCCTTCCTTCCTTCCTTCTTTTTCTTTCCAGACAGTTAAATGCAAGAGATTGCTTATAATCTACACACACTGCTCCTCCCCATCTACATACCTAAGGAATGAAATGAACCTTAATTTAATTAAAAAAATGTCCAGCCTGATTTCTGGTTAAAGGTGGAATAGATTGAGTTTGGAGATGAAAGACTTGCCACCCTCTTCGGAGATTTCAAAGAGAGGACTTGCTAGAAGAGGTAATGTATAATCCATGGAGAGGAAGGAGCAATGGGAGGACAGGAGTAAGGGTGTTCTCTGATAGAAGCTCTCCCCACAGATGAGTCTCTTGTAGCAGCAGCTGATTAAAATACCTTTAAAGAGAGAAGGAAGGAACCTGAAACCGAACTTCCTAGTTTTTAGGAGTGAAAGAGAATTGAATGGGTGATAGACTTTCCTGCTGTATCTTACTCTAAATAGACTAATTTTCCTTTCATTTTTATATTTTTATCTTTTTAAACACAATATGTTTGAATGGCATGAAAAAATTACAATTACACAACACTGTATTTTATCTTAATACTTCCTGAGTTAAGTATGAACTAAGTTAACTGGCTAACAACAAGGCATTTCTCTTCTAAAGGTGCAGCAAGTATACAAGAGCCAGCTCTGACTCATTTTGACCACTGCTCCAGCTCCCAAGTCTACTTCATCCAAGTGCCAAGAGAGTGGGTCTGTGTTTGAGATGAGGTCGGGTAGAGAGCTGGCACTGCAGGGGATGGAGGAGGAAGAGTCTGTTCAGGGGCTCCTGGTGACTCTGAAGATTCAGAATGCAGTAAGACTTTAAGACACAAAGGCTCTGAGAGTGTTATGGATTGGAATTAATTTGACTGTATTGGGTCTGGCTGAGATGAAGTTAATTTTCCCCACAGCAGCCCTCACAGAGCTGTGCTGTGTATTGGTAGCCAGCAAGGTGTTGGTAACCCACTGGTGTTTTGGCTACTGCTGAGCAGTGCCAGCACACACCAAGGCTGTCTCTCTCCAACGTCTCCCCCCTCCCCCCACACCAGTAGGCTGGGGGTGGGCAAGGTCTTGGGAGGGGACACAGCCAGGACAGCTGACCCCAACTGACCAAAGGGATATTCCATACTGTATGATGTCTGCTCAGCAATAAAAGCTAAGAGAAAGGAGGAGGAAGGGGCGCATTTGTTATTTATGACATTTGTCTTCTGGAGCTACCTCTACACGTACTGAAGCCCTGCTTCCTGGGAAGTGCCTGCATCGCCTGCTGATGGGAAGGAGAGAAAAAAATCTTTTGGTTTTCCTTTGCTTCCACATGTGACCTTTGCTTTTGGTTTATTAAGCTGCCTTTATCTTGACCCATGAGTTTTTTCCATATTATTTTCTCCTCTCCCTGTCCTGCTGAGGAGGGGAGTGATAAAGAAGTTTGGTGGGCACCTGGCCTCCAGCCAAGGTCAACCCACCACAATGGCTCAGGTAAGATTCTGCCAGTCCTATAATTAGAGTAAAAACAATCAAACAAAAAAAATTTGCCAGCACGGTAACCAGCATTCTTTGCGATCTTATCAGATGCCACCACTTCACATTTTGCACAAGTAACACGTTAGTGCCCAGTTGCTTCCATGCAGATTCATATCATGACACTCCGCATATCATTAGGGAGTACAAAATGACTGTTGTGTTTGTCTACTGAGATATGGTACTATGAGTACTGAAGTCATTGCTTTTTTAAGTGCTTTGGGATATGCTTAGCAATAGACGACTGTACAGCATGAAAGCTATTGCTGTCCTAACAAAAATCACACAGGCTTTTATTATGATTTTGAATAACATCAGGGAATTGATGAAAAAGCTTCTATTTTCCTCACTCAGAAGCATTTTAGAATGTAATTTATGCAACTACAAAGCAGAATTATGCCTGAAAATTAAGTTACCCATTCATAAAAATTAAAATTAAATCTGTCCAGGGACATCAAGGGCAACAAGCAAAGCTTCTATAGGTACTTCAGTGATAAAAGGAAGACTAGGAAAAACGTGGGATCTCTCCAGAAGGAAATGTGAGACCTGGTTACCCAGGATATGGAGAAGGCTGAGGTATTCAACAACATTTTTTGCCTCAGCCTTCATCGACCAGTGCTCTAGCCACTCCACCCAAGTTGCAGAAGGCAAAGGTAGGGACTGGGAGAATGAAGAACTGCCCACTGCAGAAGATCAGGTTTGAGACCATCTAAGGAACCTGAAGATGCACAAGTCCATGGGACCTGATGAGAAGCATCCACGGGTCCTGAAGGAACTGGTGGGTGAAGTTAAGCCACTCTCCATCATATGTGAGATGTCCTGGCAGTCTGGTGAAGTTCCCACTAACTGAAAAAGGGGAAAAATAACCCCCCATTTTTTAAAAGGGAAAAAAGGAAGACCTGAGGAACTACAGGCTGGTCAGTCTCACCTCTGTGTCTGGCAAGATCATAGAGCAGATCTTCCTGGAAACTATGCTAAGGCACATGGCAAATAAGGAGGTGATTGGTGACAGCCAACATGGCTTCACTAAGGGCAAACGGTGCCTGACAAATTTGATGGCCTTCTATGACGGAGTTACAGAATTGGTGGATAAGGGAAGAGCAAGTGATGTCATCTACCTGGACTTGTGCAAAGCATTTAACACTGTCCCACATGACATCCTTGTCTGTAAATTGGAGAGACATAGATGTGATGGATGGACCATGCAGTGGATAAGGAATTGGTTGGATGGTCGCACTCAAAGAGTTCTAGTCAATGGCTTGATGTCCAAGTGAAGACCAGTGATGAGTGGCATTCCTCAGGGGTCGGTACTGGGACCATCGCTGTTTATCATCTTTGTCGACAACATGGACAGTGGAATCGAGTGCATCGACAGCAAGTTTGCCAACGACACCAAGCTGTGTGATGTTGTCAACATGCTGGAGGGAAGGGATGTCATCCAGAGGTACCTTGACAGGCTTGAGAGGTGGGCCCATGCAAATCTCATGAAGAGAATGGATTGAGAGCAGCCTTGAAGAGAAAGACTTGGGGGTGTTGATGGATAGGAAGCTCAACATGAGCTGGCAATTTGCGCTTGCAGCCCAGAAAGCCAACCATATCCCGGGCTGCATCAAAAGAAGTGTGACCAGCAGTTTGAGGGAGATGATTCTGCCCCTCTACTCTGCTCTTGTGAGACCCCACCTGGAGTACTGTGTCCAACTCTGGAGTCCCCAGTACAAGAAAGACATGGAGCTGTTGGAGAGAGTCCAGAGGAGGGCCACAAAGATGATCAGAGGATTGGAGCACCTCTCCCATGGAGACAGACTGAGAGAGTTGGGGTTGTTCAGCCTGGAGAAGAAAAGGCTCCAGGGAGACCTTACAGTAGCCTTCCAGTACCTGAAGGGGGCCTGCAAGAAAGCTGGAGAGGGACATTTTACAAAGGCGTGTAGTGATGGACAATGGGTAATGGCTTTAAGCTGGAGGAGGGTAGATTTAGATTAGATGTTAGAAAGAAATTCTTCACTGTGAGGGTGGTGAGGCACTGGATCAGATTGCCCAGAGAGGTTGTGGATGCGCCCTCCCGGGAAGTGTTTAAGGCCAGGTTGGATGAAGTGTTCAAGGCCAGGTTGGATGGGGCTTTGGGCAACCTGGTCTAGTGGAGGGTGTCCCTGCCCATGCAGGGGGTTTGGAACTAGATGATCTTTAAGGTCCTTCCAACACAAGCCATTCTATGATTCTATGATTCTATGATAAAAGGCCTGTTTGACAGTGCAGTCACTCACATGCAACCCACCACACCTGTAATCTAAGCAAAAGAAGTTGCTAAATCACTAGAACTTCATGCTCCCAGCAATTTTGCACATCATCTTCCCCATGATTAGATAGTTAGCTGTACTGCATAGGTAACTGGGAAAGTCACGGTGTTAACACCACAGGAACTCACCTTGTTTTTGAATTCTTGACAGGGTGAAAGATTTCCATCTGCCATCATTATGATTGTGGTTGCTGATAACAGAAGCTGTACCTGAACCCAGATCGTAGCTGACTTTTATACGCCCACCACTGAGTTCTACACTCATGAAATCTTTCTGTTAATGAAAAGGATTAGATACACAAAATATGACTCTCATTCATTTTGGTAAGAGGCATATGACATTAAATAAACACTTTCTTTTCCTGGGTGACAATAGACAACTTTCTTCAAGCTTTTAAAAAAAATCTTCTCAGGCATTTACTGCCCAGGACTGTAAAGTATGAATGTACGCTGCCAACAAGTTCTTTTTTCCCCCTTTCCTTCTCCTTTGGATTGCTAATTTAGTTAGCATTTTGCTAACTTAGCTGCAGTTTTGCTGAGATGTCTGTACTTTTATTTTCTTTGATTGAAGACAGAAATACACATTGTAATTACCTGAAATGAATACTCAATTTTGAGTATATGGCTGTACTACAGATAGTGTATTTACTACATATCTCAGCTAGATTTAAACTTGCAAGGTAGAAAACAACATTAGTAAAGATGGTAAAACTGGCTGCTTGTACTAGGGTTTCCAAGGAGTGCTCTGTACTGATGGAGCAATAGAGAGCTATGAACTATTTTTCTCATCAACCACTGACACCAATATCTAAGCAGTAAATGAAGATGGCTGGCTGGAGGAATGGTATATGCTGCAGTATCTACAGAAAAAGAGCTGGCAAGATACAAATAACCAGGGAACTGGATAGCATGAAAGGCATTAAGTAAGTAATGGTGGAACGATGATCCAGGCATGAATGTACCAGAGAAATTTTAATTATAATGTTGCTTATGGCCAGTTCCACCTGTGCTCAGATCTAGGGGGAATGATAATACTTTATCATGTGCTGAATACTTATGCAAAACTGTGATAATAATGTTATGTATATGAACATAAATTTATGTTAAGAAGAAAAGAGTAAAATTTAACAAACTCAGTATTCTAGATACTTATGCATGTCTATCCATGCATCATGAGAAAGAGCATCCTCAAAATTTTTACACAGTGGGGCAATATCTTAAGAAACAAATTGTATCAGGAACCAATTGCCTTCCAGCTTCCAGTATTTTTTAGAAGTTCAAGTGAATAATTTTTTCTAGAAAACTACATAAATTAATAGTAATTACACAAAATCATCTAAAATAATTACATTAATTATACTTTCAATATTCAATTATAAAAATAATTAGAAAACTACATAATTACTTCATTATCATAATAAAATTATATCTTTTACTATACTCAGTCGAAGGAGCACACTCCTCCTCAATAAATCCAGCAATTCTGATAATTTTTCCCAAAATACAGGCCTCTGAAATAAGACGGATTTACAAACACAGTTTTTTGTAAAAGAGTGAGTACTCAGTAATTCTTCAAGAGAACTGGTGTACATAACTTCTGGCCCACATAAAAAGGCCGTGGAAAGGACTCTGTTCCCAGTCAGGCTTGCAAATCAATCTTGATCAGAGATGCTGAAGCTGAGTTATTCCCAATTCTTGTGAGGATCTGGCCAGAAGTCTTTATAAATAACTTATCCCTGTTACCCACACACATTTGATAATGAGTGTGAATAAAAATCTTGAACACCTTTATAACTAATGTTTCTATTCTCTATTTTACCTGTAAAGGCACTATTTGTAGACCTTGTAAAGACATCCTCACCATCACATCCTGTTTGTTGCACCATTCGGTTCCTTTTTACTGCCACTCACATTAAACACAAACTTTTTCTTTATATCAGTAGGACTTCTATCTAAGACTTGTCTCTTCCCATATTCTCCGTGCCCTCATACTATGATATTTTAAACTATGAATGTATAACCACAACTGGCAATGCTTGCACAGGTAAAGATTTGGGATAAATGAAAATTAATTAATAATTTCAGAAAAACTGGAATTCCCCTCAGTCTAACATAATGCTCCCCAGTCAGTAAACACTAGGTAGTCAACTTCCACACTATAACATTGTCTTCACTTGGACAGCAGTGGAGCATCATACCAGACAACATATTACACCAGGATAGTGCTACATTCAATTCCTATTTGTTTTCATAATATGATGACTTCAGCCACTGTAAAGATGGTATAAGACCTGTAAGGAGAGTGGAGGTTAGCTGATTGTTCTTACCAAGTCATCAGTAGCAAGATACATCAGCAAGGCGTTCGATGAGAAGGTCCTGAATTTGAACATGACTGTGGAAATATTGGGGTTCCAGCGGATTGGGCGGCTCACCATGGCGTAGCTGTCACCATCGAACTGGACGGTCCCTTCACTGTCTGCCACCTGTGGGCTGAAAAGGGGCAATTCCAACAAGATTCCTTTGCCGTGTGAGGTGAAAAAAAAAAAAAAAAAAAAAAAGTAGGGGGAAAGGGGAGTGAGGGGACGCCTCTTGGGAGTCTTCTGGAACTTGGTTCGATTTTATATCAAACACTTGTTCTAAGAAGTAAAGCTATAAGGTCAGCTCTTTGGCTGTCCAACACAAAAGCACAGGGAAGATGGAAGGAGGAAGACGGAAGCGGAACCTGTCACATGTATCTCATGGCCTGTAATGACTCATTTTGCAATCCGCCGTGTAAAATTGCATTATGTATTCTTTCATCTTGTAATAAATCTTGGTTTTGTTATTGTTAGTGATTTATTTTACAAATTCTAGAGGGTCACAGATGAAAACCCTGGAAACTGATTCTCTGTTTACCCACCAATTACAAACACCACAAGAGCAGAAGCATGAGCCCCTCCACAGTTTTTGGCATTAAAAACATTCCTGTTATTACAGAACAGAAAAGATCAGGCTTTGAGATTGTTTGATATGATTTTCATGATAGACTCTTGTCCATTTCTCTCACACAGAACATACAACTGCAAGACAGCAATCTTTTGGTTTAATCACAAACATAATTTTGAACAAGGGACCTACAAGCTAGGAACATGTTTCCCATTTATCTTGGCACACATACAAGGATCTTGAATGTAGTCCTTTTACCCTCCATAGCTACATTTAAGAGCTAAGCTTTTGCAAATAGATTTTGCAGGAGAACAGGACTCTTTCTGATACTGGAACAATGGGTTAAGGTAAAAGGGAGCCTTTAATACAGTTTTCTACAAATCTCAAGTCTAGCATTCTTTTTTTAATCTCCTTCCCACCCACTCCCACTCCAAGCAGGCAGATCTACACTATCACTAATGAATGAGAAAATTAAATTCAGGCGGAGATGCACAGAAACGTGTAGGCATTTCCACTAGGAATTGCTTGGGACTGAAATGCATATATCCATCATCATGCTCCTTAAATTTCCACCTATGTGTCAAGGGCCTACATTTGCAGTCAAGGAAATGCACCAGTATTTCCAAAATTGTTTCTGTTCACAACTGTAATTTCCATCATTTTCAAAGGGCTAAGTCGTAGCAGGTTGTCAAACTAGCAGCCCAGTTTTGAAAACTAGCCTACTCTGACTTCCCTGACTGGGGCTATAATTACTTTACCTGATGCGACATGAGCTCCATACCATATACAAACACTGCCAAATTCCCTAAAAAAACAGGAGCATCTACGAGGACAGTGCTGCTTTCATGCAGTGGGTCACTGTGAAAGTCATAAACCATGAACAAGGTTGTGTGTGACCCGGAGTCTGTCTTCTTTACATGGTAATTCCCAGGACTGTGCTGTAGTATCAGGTGGTGCTGCTGTATAAGGGTCCTCAGCTTTTGAAGCTGAGACATGACACAAGAAAGTGTTTGAGATTAGTTTGGTGGGAAAGAGGAGCGAAGATGGCTCACAGCTCTCTAAGGACAAGGACACATCCAGAAAGGAAGTAACTTAGGTTGTTTTAAAATTCCTGAAGAGACTTCTGAGCCTACATATGTGAATCTTGGTCCTGCCTGGATGGGCCATTTGCCCTGTCTGGAACCACAGGTCACTGACAAGGATAGGATTTCCCATTCTCTTTGGAGAAAGCAAACACCTTTCTCTAGTGGGAGTCTCTGCTCACTGCACTGGTGGCTGTGAAAGTCACCTTGAGGCATCTGACTCCACCCCATGCTGCATGAGAGCTGCAGGCACCCACACCACAGCTGTCCACGAGCCAGACTCAGTCCAACTGTGGATCTCACCCTCTCCCATGTTTTGACTACTCCTGGTTACTGGTTAGCAGGAGTCTTTCCCTCACAGCACTGTTATACCCTCTTAATTTTGTTAAGACACAGACCACATTTACAACCCAGATTGGAGGCTTCCCCTCTTGGTGTAATTGCAAGCTAACTTCATGTTTCCTACAACTCCCAGCATTGCATACAGACCACAGCTGTCTACTGAAACTTGATGGCTGCTGTGGAAATTCCTGCTCCTTAGCACAGAACGCAGTGTCACCATAGACAGGTTCCCAAAGCAGCATGAGAAACAGTCAGTGCTTTACCTACCTGACAGCACATCCTTTGCAGTCACCTTCGATATCCCTGAAATTCCACAGTCCTATGGGCTTGCTGTCTAGAAAGGTTTCACCCATGCAGCCAGTGAAGGTGGTGACTCTTACAGCGTCTGACTTCTGCAATAGAAAACACAAACCTTGTTAGAATTCAATCTGAAGTGATCTACTGTGTCTGAAAGCGTACCTGGCATGAAAATCACAAATACCAGAAGATACTTCTTAATATTTTAAATATCAAGAGTAATATTTGTATCTGACAAGCCCTCCTATAGAACAACTGATCTGCAAAAATGTGAACTAAACTATGTATCAGTCAGAATGGAAAAGCCCATTTATACTTGAGACTCTGAGGAAGGCCTTGGCAGAACGATTCCCGGCTTCCACATCACCATCAGCTTTCCTGGCTATTCAGAGAGCTGCCCGCTCCCACTTGTTCAAGGTCTGTCCGGGTTCTTGTTTAAGACTTCATAAAAAGGGCTACGAGGAATCTTATCCACAATACAATAAGCAAAGTGTTTCTACTGTACTTAATGCTCAAAAACCTGGAAACAGAGCAGCTCGTCCAAGCTAAAAGACCACTGTGAACTCAACTGGATACACCTGAAAAGTTCATGCTGAATTTTGGATGCAGAAAAAAGTGTAGATGACAAAAGAATTAAAACTCATATCCCATCACAACTCATTAAGCTAGGGTCATGCACATGGGGTAAAGCTCATTAGATTATAACATAGTACCATGATCAAGGCAGTAATATTTGACAGTACACAGAGTACTCAGCTCAAAATTATCCTTCTAAAAATACCTAGTTTCATTTAAATTTCACTTCATCAATATGAGCTGATTGAAAATCTATATACTTAGCTATTTGAGATAGACAAACACCTGCTGTTTTCCATACAGCAATTACGAATATTAAGGTCTTGCAAGAGAATATGGAGAAGTGCAACTTGAAAATATTCAAGGAAAAGTATGACTCAAAAGACTTAATGTGCTGGTGATATTTCCCAGGGTAATTGGGAAGGTTTTAATTAGCAACAAGTATGAACTTAATATCACTTCTGAGAAATTCATGACATCTAAGTATCATAGACTTCTACTCAAGTCAGATGAAAGATGTTTTTTAAAACTGAAAATGAGCCTTCTTTTTGAATACAGTGCAAAGATGCATGCAAAAAGGGATGTGGACAAAATCCCAGGACAAATCTAAAGCACTCCAAAACTCAATAATACAAAAAAGCAGATTTCTGAGACAAAGATTTAAAAAATATCAGTGACCTTAACAAATGTCCAAAGAGCTTCATGGTTTTAGAAGAGAGTCTCAGTTAAGGTCTTCATTGTGTGAGCCTGACAACTGTACCACGTGATGATAAAAATTCCCAGAAAAAATTATCATTTATCTTTTAATTCACAGACTGTGTCTGAGCAGAGCAAGTCTTATTGTGTTTAAAACCCTGCAAATATACCAGCCATACCAAACTTACAATACATTGTCTCCTGCCTCTGCCCTTATCTAGAGAGAAAAAAGAATTCAGGTTGTTTTTCCTGAATAAGATGAAAAAATGGAGAATTCTCCAGAAAATATCTGGAGAACTCTTATTGACATTGAAAATGGCTGTTCTGGCATCAGACTTTTGCAGCATCCATAATTCCTGTTCGTGTTCTACATTGCACCTCATACTTGATCCTAGAACTGTCTTACGTGCTGAATTGTGCTCACCACCCACCTCTGTCTCACTGCATCTAACTAAAAGAAAAAAAAAAACATTCAGAAAAGGGTTCAGATTTAAATGTTACTGTTTTCCAGGTCCTCTTGTTTACCCTGAACATGAAGAGCCCTTGAACCCTTTTCCCTCTAAGATTCTGCTAAATGTCTTAACTTTTTCGTAAATACACACTTCATTGTTAAATAATTCTTATTGACTAAGTATTATTCAAATACTATTCACATTTAAATATCAAATAAATACCCCAAATAAATACTACTACTAATAAACATGAAGTAAAAGCAGTAGATATAACATTAAATATTCTAAAATTCAAACTAATTTTTCCTCTGACAGTGCAATTTATGCGAGATGATCTTTGTTAGGAGTTGTGACATCTTTTATTGGAGCAGTAGGTACTAGCTTTGGGGTCTGGTTACTCAAATAGTACATATGATCTCTCTTTACACCTTTGCCTCACTTTTTCTACCATCATACTAAGAGCTCTTTATTTAACAATAAAATATCTGTAACACTTAAACCTAGACATGACATCAAGTAAAACATATATTTTTATTAGTCTAATGTGACAGCTTTGCTGTGGAGATTAGGACTAGGCACAAGACTACTTTATGCTGTGGCACAGAACAGCTGATGCTGAATTTCTGTACCATTGATTCTCTGGATTCTTAATGTAAACACGAGAATTTTTTTCAAAGTAGAATTCAGGTGAAAGCTCTGGCCTGGGACGTTTGATGTTCTAGAGCTGTGCAAACATAAATGGTATTACTATATTTCAATACTTGCCCCACTTGTCTTCTGATAATTCAAAAGTAAAATCTAAAATAAAATTAAAACAAAGTTTGGGTTTAGGCTGGCATTTGAGGTTGAAGTTTCATGACTCCTTCGGGGGATCACCCAAAGACAATAAGCCAAAACTCACCTGACCATGCATTTTCTAAGGTCTCAATGGAGTCAAAGAAATTTAAATATTGTATAAATCAGATTCTCAAGTGCTTTTCTAAATGCAGAATGATGAAATTATTCATTTAATCACAATTCTGGCCCTTACGATCGCTACCTGAGCCAGTCTGTCTTCCAAGCTTGCAGTCAGACTGAAGGTTAAGCATTTTAGAGAGGTGGGCAGACACAACCCTACAGCCTCTATGAACTGGTGGGTTTGGGCCTTTGGTCATCGTAGCTACACAGCACTGCAAGCACTGAATAGTCCTGATTCAGCTGAGTGCAGTGTTTATTCCACTGAGGAGTTATGGTGAGTCAAAACCAGGACGTAATGCCAATGCAATTAAATTTGTTATTGGTGAAAACAAGAGTGGAAATTAAAATTTATCCGACATAGCAAAAAGCCAAGAATGAAAGCAAGCTGAGAAGTAAATTAGGTGTGGGAGATAAAGCACCTCTCCCCGGTTTATTTCCATTCCCTTTGAAACAGCAGATCAAAGGGATAGAGTACAGAAAGCCAGTGAGGCCATTCTGGTTTTGTAAGGGTCAATAATTTCTGCAGTACAGAGCCACTTTTAGCAACTGATGATTCATTAATTTTAGAAATATGTTTCGAGGGTTCTTGTTTAGGACTAACAGAAGAAACCAAACACGTTTAGTTGCCTCTAGATAGAAAGCAGGAAGGTAGAGAGCAAACCAGAACCTCTGTTTAAGGCTGTAAGGAGAACACAGAAAAAGGTGACAGAAAGGCTGTTTTTTCTAATATGTAATTCTCCAAGAAATTCTTCGATTTACTTCCTTGTCTATTTCCTATATGAAATCAAATTACATAAAAGAAAATGCATGGCAGTTATATAGACCCTTCAAGTTCAATAAGAAATGTCAAGATTCATTGCATCTGCATCTTTAGAACTTGAAAACGTTTGTGATTATTTGTGGATCCATTTCAGATAAAACAGAGAGAATAGATCTGAGTTCTACTTACATGGACCGACTTGCAATTTCTTAGCCCAAAATCTCATGAAATTTTTTCCTGTTCCTGTGAACATTCCTTTAGTGGAATCTACACACTCTATTCCTTTTCTGTGCTCTGATTTTGTCTTTGTCTCTCTAGAAATGTGCACCCACACTATTCTCTATAAGAAAGGAATATGTCTATCCACACATTCCCAAACCAGAGCCATCTAGAGAGTTAAACTTTCTAAAAACTAGAAAGTTGGACCATAAAATATTGTGCTATTTCAGCACTTGAGGACAAATACGTACTTTAGTGTAAGCAAAAGTTCCTTGAGTTCACTCTTTGGGAAAGTCTGAATGTTAGGTGGTTTTTTTTGTTTGTTTTTTTTTTTTTTTTTTTTTTTAAATGCTAAATGAGGATTTTTAATTTTTGTAATGTTAACATTAAAAAAATCAAAATATTGATCAGGAACAAAATAGCTCATTTAAATTGTTTTGTAATGAATGCTACTGGAAAATATATGCTAATTAATACTTATTGGAGAACATTTTTTTGCTGAAAAATTTCTATCCATTCTATTTGGCATAAATCTTCTATTCATTGCCATTAAGTTAAGCCATCCAGAAGCAATGAACAGGCAAAAAGAAGAGAAAATAGGTCAGGGATCTGACACAGGTAGCAGTTAAAAAGAGGGATACTACAGGGGGGAAAACAGGACCAAAAATGAAGAAAATAAAACAGAAATGTCAAAAGTAGACTGCAAAGGACGAAGTGATACTGTGGGTATATGACAAAGAAAATCCCCTCAATGTAAAGGAATATAACTTGTTATACACATTGTTAGGAGACCAGGAATGTATGGAAACAGGAATGAGTTCCCCTCACTATAATACTGAAAGCCTGTTGGGGCAGCAATATGTCCAGGGTAAAGCACCCAGCTGCCCCGCAGGAACTGGTTGTTTGGGCTGAATGCTGCATCAGTACAGCCAGCCACCAGGCTGCTGGTTAGAAATTAACAGTGTGGTCTGTGCACCTACATGTCTAGGTAAATCCCAATAATCTTTCAAGAGTGCAGGTGTACTATTTGCTGATAAAGCACCTACTACAATGATGCCAGCATATAAAAGTTTACTACTTCTACTGTAAGTAATAACCAAAATTGTCCACCTAAACAGCCAGTTAATACACTAGCACCAGCAAGACGTTACCTTTATTTTTTCAGTTAAACCACCAACAAACAGCATGGCATTAGCATCTACATCCAGAATGGTATATCCAGGTGGAGAGACAGCACTGAATGTGGCTGGCACGATGCTGGCTTTAGGACCATCCAGAGCTCGCACTGATATTGTGCCATTTTTCCCAGTCCTGAGATTTTAACAAAATAATTGAAGCATACAGAGTCAGTAGTTAAACCAAACATAGGAAAAGCCTATTTTAGATGACATCTTTTAATAGAGGCATGCATTACTGGTTTGATTATGTTCCATTTTGATACTAATGAATAGACTCTTAGGCCTGTGTAAGTTAAAGACATGATCACAGAACCAGTTTATTTTTTCACCTCAATGTCCTTTTTGAACAAAATTCACTATACAGATGAAGTGGAAGTTTCATTAACTAAAACAAAGAAGTTGCATTTTTTTAAATTATTGTGATGAAATTAGTGTTAAGTAATTGTTTCTTGCTCTAAAAAATGATGCAGGCAAGGTTCCAAATTAAATTTCTGAATTTCATAAGGTTTATTAGATTATATTTGAACTGAAATGAATGATCATGTGATAAAGTACTTCAACTTCCTCCACTGTGATGCAGAGTTTGCATTTTCTGCAGTGGAGCTCTCTGTTGCTTATCAAACAGGCACAAATCCCCTTACATTTAAGGATGTTACCTCATTGTCCTCTATGAACCATATCAGATATTGATGGTAACAACAACAAAAGAATTTGCCATTTGTTAATAGTTTCTGTAGCAGTTTGTTTTCTACTCCTTAGGTTATATTAATGTAGTAACTGGTATGGAAAGGGTTTGCTGACATATTTTTACAGTATTTTTCCTCCTAGTCTTCCAGGTATATAGAAAGATTTTTCAAAGGCAACTTGAACCATTTTGAATCCAGTAATTTGCTTAGTATTATTTTAGCTTACAGTAGTATGGATAGTAGCTTTCCATAGAAAGCTTACTACTTACCTAACAGACATAAACTGTCACACTATAAATCAGTGTTTCATCCCAGACAGATGAAACACTAATCAACACACATAATTTCTTACGGCACTATAATATGATTGCAGAAATAAGCATGGAGTGTGACCCAAATCCTATCATGTGCGGATGAAGTATCTAGCATCTAGTATGTATCTAGCATGTAAAAAAATCCCTTTGATTTTCTAAGTCCTGAACTTTGCTGCATGCAAAGATGCAAAATTCCCTTTTGTCTAATTAGGGGGGAAAAAAAAAAAAAGATTGGCTTGGGGTATTGAACTAACAAGCAAACTAAAAGTTAAAAGCATACCTTTCAGGAAGAACTGTCATTTTTTGTTAAATAAAGCTTTACTTGAAGAACTTACATTTAGAGCACAGCAAGGAAGACTGCATAACTTAGGCTACTGAATAAGCTAAATAAAGACATTGCTATCCTGTACTTACAGAATTCCTGGATTTAGATAGTTTACTGGATCAGGGCTCTAAGATGGTGGAAAAATCCTATAAGACTATGGTTTTTATGTCTAAAAAACACTCTTCAGAAATTCCTTTGTTTCAGAACCTATTACCCAAAAAACAGAATGAGTTGAGAGTTTTCTTATAGAATAAAATAGAGATGGAAAAAAGTCACTTAAATTAAAAAAAGATTTAGTTGAGACATTTCAGTTTTGATAAATTTCTCGTGAACTATGAAGCAGGGTTGCAAAGTAATTTTGAGGGTTTCCAATCAATGGGGAATACCTTTGTAGATCTATGCCGTCTTGCCTGCTTTGTAGTCAGGGATCTCAAGGCTTTCAATGTGAAAAATGCATATTTGCAAAAAACCACTGGAGCCCTTTGATTACCCACCTGTACCTTGATCTGGCAGCTCTGGAAATCACATAGATGGGACTCTCAGTTTCCTAGTTTCCTCCTAAGTGACATCTAGGATATGTGAACATGTAGTTGCTCCAAATAATTTTAAGTTGGCTAAAGCCATCCACATTATTCTAAAGGATTATTTTTTAAAATTTCCTTTTAATGACAATATTTCACCTTTCATTCCAAAATTAATTGAATAATAAGTAGATAGCTTTCTCTGCAGAAGAAATTCCAAATTTTTACTTTATTTTTTTCAGAAGGTTTATTGATGTGAAGCCCTTTAAAGAATAAAAGTTCTCAATGTAGTAATTGTTGAAGGACTAAGTTGCTAGAGACTTTTTTTTAAACTGCTTAAGTTTGATGCTCTCTGAAAGAAAATCATTGGCACTTTCAATCTATATTGTGCTGAAATCAAGATTCCAGTTTAAAAACATCCAAGTGCAATAATGCAGAAGTCACTGAGCAGAATGACACTTTTTAGGGTGTCTAATATGTCACAAATAGCACGGATGTCTTTCATCTTCAGACAGACTGAAATGCTAACAATGCAGTCTCTTCCATAAATAATTCTTTCTTATTTAAGGAGAACAATTAAGCTTGAAGAAAGAACTTGACTAACTTGACAGCAAAGAGACACTGCTATCCTGTGCATGACAAGTTATCAGGTTAGAAGATACTGTTCTATTGATAGTTAGTTCTGCAAAACTGGAGGATTACAGAAGATGTACCAGCACTGTGTGGCTGATCATCTGAAAAATTTACATAGTGCCATGCAATACAGGGTTTGCTCTTTAGGAGATGATGTAAATGAGATGACTTTTGCAAGTCATCAACATTGGATTACAAAATACCATGTAGAAACCTCTGCTCCTTGACCTCTTGAAAGCACAGAAAATCTTCATGGGTAAGTATGGCTTACACTTGCCACAGTAGTTTAAGACTGAGTTCTTGCTGAGCTGGGCTGGATGTGTCTACAGTGAACTTGTGATTCAAGCGTCCTTTGTCCTCAAAGGAAGGGCGCTGCTTAAACCCCATCATTAACAGTTAAAACAATGCTAATACTTAAATCACACTTGATTAAGATCACAACTAATCAGGTTCTGCTCCTAATGGAGATCTGCTGAAGTCAGGTGATATTGTTTCACTGATCTAGGGAGCCTCAAAAAATATTCTATCGTGCATTTGACTGTTTCACAAAATTGACATTATTTTTCTATTGCGGACCTGCTTTAAATCATTTTGTCACATACTGTTATGCCAGATTTTCCTTTGTTAATTGATACTTTGATTGATTGCTGTTCTTACTGCAAATCAGATTTGCCTCTATAAGCAGGTAAGTAACTCTGTAAGTGACATTTGTTAAATTCCTGTACCATCAAAGTATAGGAAATTCCTATAGGAAAGGCTATAGGAAAAAACAAATTTTACTTCAATTCCATACAAAAAAAAAATTAAAATATTTCCATGATAACCTCTGCATATACAATAAAATGCAAAGTATTAGTATGCTTTAAATAAAAAGGTGATGAAAATTAAAGGTGTCCCTGGAAAACAGATGCACTAGTTATCAATTTGGTCTTAACACACTGGAAATTTTGGCACAGATGTTAAGTGAACTGAACATCCCTGATCATTACTCAACAGTCAGCTTTTTCATATTTAGATTTCAGTCAGTATGCTGAGTGACCTTGAGAATTTCATAACCTCTGGGCTACCTCATCTCCTCTTTTTAAGGCCCTTTGGGATCCATGATTAAGAACTGCTATCAGCCTTTAAACCTACCATATTGTTATTATCGTGCGTCAATGGCTGTCACCACTGAAATCAATGGCAAAATTCAGCAAGGCCAGAATTTCATCTTATGTCCCCATCCTAACTTGATGCCCTGCTCCAGCTGTTCTGGTGGCCCTGTCAGATTGCTAAAAAAGTCTGTGGCTGGAACTGAGCAGAAATTTAGAGAAAAAAGAGTGAGAGAATGAAATGACTAAAACTCTCCAACAGCTTATGAACAGAGTCAGAGGAGAGTTACTAAATAGACTAAAATGTTCAAAGTTGAAGAATCTTCAGTAGGGTACATGATTTATGAAGTCTGCCTTAAGAATGCAAAATCAGTCCCAAATTCTTCATCTTAATCCCACAAATCCAACTAATGTCTCTGTAATGTAATTCTCCTAAACACTCCTCTGTACTTCAGATTTGTGCAGCTGTAATTGTTCTAAATTGCTGATCCAGCAGTTCATTCAAAACTAATGGCATGCACATCCTATACATCCAGAACAACCAGCTTAATAGGCAATGTGCTTTTGTAGGATGCGTGAATTTTTATACCATGTTCTGGCTCCATATTCTGCTGAAGCAGCTTTTTTGTAAATGAAAGTCTGGCATTACTGTGTCATGAAGCTATTTTAGTATGCATAATATGAACTGGTGAAGATTTCAACAATTCATATCGTACCCCAGTTCGTATTTCCTAGCAATAAGGTTTCATTAAGCCTGCTTCTGGAGACAGTGCCATAATTTTATTTAATTCTCTGCTCTGAATGGATGATTTCTGTGATTTCACTAAATAATTATTTAAACTGGACACCATTTCCTCCTCCGAGAGCTATGGATATAACTGGAATTATAGTACTTTGTTTTCTTTCTCCTTTTTTCTCTTATTTTCTGACTATATTATTGCTTCTATGTTTAATACTATGTGAAATTAACTGTAATGATGCAGGAGGAATTACTGAGGTTCATATCAAATTGTAATATAGACGATGTTACCTAAATTACTAAGATCTGTTCAGAAGTAGAGGATAAAGGATATAAAGTTATGTAATCCTTATGCTGTAATTACTACACCATATGCCATGTGTTTGCTATTTGAATGGAAAATATAAGCTTCAAGTAACAAATGTGAAATTTGAATATTAAGGTATTGGTATTTTTAAACTTCAAAAGCATTCAACAATTGATTTCAAAGTAGAAAGTATAGTTTAACTTTCCACAACATTTTATCCTTGGGTTTTCATAAACTGTATCTTTTTAAATATCTCCAATTTGAAGAGATCTTCTGCTTATGGACATGGCATTTTGAGTAAGAATCAAGATATTGGTGTATGGCAGACTGCATTTGCAGCCCTGTATCAAGACTAGAAATTCAGAAAAGGTGCTCCTCTTTGAAATTCAAGGAAAAAAGAATAGTAGTTATCTGTTTGAGTGTCAAAATCTGCAACTGATTTAATTTAAAAGGAAGCTAGTTGAAGAAGAGAATCAATAGGGTGATATATAAACAGAAGGGAATATAAACAGTCATAGATTGTTGATGCTAGAGGGGAAATATGTGATGAAAATGAATTCTTGACACAGAATAGTTCACATTTCAATAGTAATTGTTGTGTATACAGTTTTGGTACTATTGGATGCAGGTTCAAAAGCTTCCATTAAACCCAACTAGAATTTCTCCTATTTATGACATAATCTTTTTTTTTTTTTAAAAAAAAGATATTTCAAACGTAGCAAACATTTCCATGTAAACCTGAGGTATGCCAACTTGTGGACAGTAGATTAGAAGCAGAACTTGTTAAACGTATCCATTTTTTCTTTCTGAACCAAATATTGCAAGTGAAATATGTACTTGCCTAGAAGCTTCAATCCGGTACCAAAACCCATCGTCAATGGTCAGATCTGGATACTCTACCCGTCCGACACCAGATCCCACATCCCACAGGAAGCTCACCTTGCCTTTGCGCATCTCTATGGCCAAGAAGTCAGTCTACATGTAAAATATGAAAATAGAAGCAATCTCATACTTTAATTACAGGCAGTTTTCCAGAATTCTTCACATTTCAGAAGGTCTAATAAGGCATCAGAAATCCATATATAGACACTAAAGTACGAACATTAATTCTTACAGTAATCTAAAATGAGATTCTCTTTTTCCTGCTTTCATTGGTTCAGACAAGGAATCTCAAGCCAAGGATGGCAAAAGACTTCTGTCAGTGACATTCAGTAAATGGCTGCTAGACTTACAAAAGTGTTAATATTGTAGCCATCAAGGGAAGGATTTAACTCAGAGTAATGTTGTTTGTAAAAGATCCATTGGATGGTAGAAAGATGTCAGGATTCTAGGCTAATACCTGATGTCATCTAGTCTCTTCATTTTGTATTAGATAAATAAAATATATAGGTCAAAATGTTTCAAATAATAGAATACTTTCCCCATTTACTGAATTATTATTGATTATTCTAGAAGTCTGTCTGCTATAGGGCTCATGGGAAACTGAATCATTCATCATTATTATGCTTGGAATTGTAGTCTTGACTTAAAATTACAACAAATAGGAGCTTTGACAGATGCAAGATGATTAACTACTTCATTCCCAAGGGAAAACCCACAACCAACCCAAAAATTACCCTGGTGGTATTGTGAATTTTAAAGCTCTAATGTAGTCCATGTACGAGTGTCCCATTTCATATCTAGCTAAAATAAAAAAATACAAAAAATATTTTCTGGTCATATTTTAGAAGTCCCTATATAAATACCAAAGACAGTAAACATCTAGATTATCTTAGGCCCTCTACTACTGCTTTGAAGCCTCTAGGAGGAAAAAAAAGCCTTTTCATCTTCTGTATTTGTCAGTAGTCTGATTTGATTGAGCAACCCTGACATGAAAAGCAGGAGACAGACTTACAAACTTGGCACTTCCAAGGTAAAAAAGAAGATTGTCAGCAACTACAGTCTTCACATTTAGAATGACGGTGTTGTATGTTCCCTTCTTTATTTCTGGTCTGTACGTCCGAATACAATTGCCTCCAGAGGACACGGACACTTTGATCTTCAAAAAAAAGCACAGCAGAAAGAATTCAGTCTACTGCTTATTATTCCAGAAATAACTATAGATGCTTCCAAATAATTATAAGAATATTACACTTTTTTTTTTTTTCTTCCCATTTCTGTGTTACATGTACCAGGGAGTTGCTTGGATATGCACAGGAGGTAGAAATGGAATTTTCTTTCTGGGATTGTTTATTAAAAGGAAATACAAACTCTTTCTGGCATTCAGATTTGAAAGGATGAACTGTATAGATTAAAAATAGCTAGAACATATATTGGTCTAACACGAGCAGCAATGGAATTGTAGCAATATAGTCTCTAAGTAGAATGCAGCCAGGAAAATAAGCAGCACTCCTGAGGCGATCACAGGCACATTGCTTTCAGGTAGACAGGATGATCTATTTTTTCCCTTGTAATATCTTTGATTACACCAATTTAAGACATCTTTTAACAATTATTTTTAAACCAACAGTTGTGTCTATCTCTGCTTTTACATAGCAACTCCCTAATGGAGTTGGTATTCATAACTAAGTTTCATTTTCACAGCTGAGTGACATACGCACTTGGATATGTGTGCTAGCCTCCTCAGGCTCTGAGCATAGATAAAAACAGTATACTGTTTGCTTTCATAATGCCAGCACAGACATAATGACAGTACAATGGTATTTCAATTCCAGCTAGACATGTTTATGTATTAGAGTAGGTGTACATAATGGTATCACCTTATGCTCAGGGCAAACTTTGTCAAAAAGGAGATCCATTATATGACCAAACTTGCAATTTCCCTATCTCAGAAATGCTGAGCAGTTAAGTACTTCAAAGCCTTCAGACAGAAGATGAATGTAATAAAACCATATCATCGCTGTAGATTGTCTTTCTATCGTGGGCAAATTTCATTGAGTATTTGGAATACACTTCTTTCCCAGGATCCTATTATTCTGTAGATTTCTTTTTCCAACCTTTTTTCAGGAACATTTCTTAAGTACCATCTTCAAGTATTTTTTTTCCTCTACTACATTAGGTCACAAGCTGAATAACCTTAGTATTAACCAGCTGGTCCTTGAATTTAGAGTATTACTGAGTCAGGGAGATGGACTCTAAACTCATTACATGGACTAGAAATATATTCTTAACTCAAGTTTGAGTCCTCAGAGCTGCTACTGGACAAAGAAAGTCAAGAATATGGGAAAAGCAAACACATTCGGCAATTTCAGTGAGTTTGATATGGTGTCATTCTCAGTTAATAAAATATCTATGAAATGAAATCAGAGGCAAAAAAAATATATTTTTGTTTTTGCAAAAGAATCAATGATGTTGTGACTCTTCTGCTGCACTATCATCCACAATACTTCTTAAATAATAACCTTTCCTGATACATTCCTACAGATGTTATCCATTTGACAAGGGTAAGTTTTAAATGAAGAAACAAGACACAGAGTGAAAATCATCAGAATATTCTCTGTTTATCTGAGAAATTATACTCCATTATTTGCTCTCTTTGCAGATGTTTAGAATTAGAAAGGATTCACCCTGTGGAAAAGAAATAGAAAAGTAAAAAATAAAATCCCATCAAAACACAAAAGGTCATCTTACTGAGAAAGAGAGCTTACCGAATTGGCTTGCTTCCGAGCTTGGTTTATCAGCTCTTTTATCTGAGAAATGTTTTTCCCTAAGTTATCCTGAAGCTCTTTGATTGGCTTGATCTTATCTAGCAGACGATCTGCTTCCTTTTCTAGGGTTTTAATACTGGAATCTGCATCAGCAACTTCATAACAAAGAACAAGGCAGAGTTTTAGAGAATAGTGTCAGAGAGTAATTATACATTGTAATAACAAAATCCAAGAAAATTCTGCATACACAATACTCAGGTGATGATTGTATATGCTACTATGATGTACACACAGACCAGGACGCAACCTGAACAGAAGATAATTTAAGAATATTTAGAAGCAAGTTAAAGTAGCAATAGTAGCAAACACAGGTGTTAAAGCAGGATTTTGAAGCAGTAACTATGTTCCAGGTCAGGATGACAATAATGGAAAACATTTCCTGTAACAAATAGTTATGAATGAAATATTTCTTTTTTTTAAAAAAAACCCTCCAATTCTGAAGAAAAATGCTAGATTAATGAAAACTGGTTAGTTTCCATTAGTAACTTCTGAAACAGGGTTAGAATTAACTTCAAGTTAATTCTTGAATTAACTCAAATTGCCACAACTAGAAAAAGGCTTTATTCTGGTCACCAGTGTAAAAATTGCGTACTGAAATACGCAACTGCAAATATTTTACTTTTTTTCAGGTGAACTTAATAACTTCACAAGGCTATTTGTTCTCTCTTTCTCTCTAAGCTTCAAATGACTTTTTGTGCCTCTCAACATACAAGCAGTGAACAATGGCCTCTCCTTGACAATTCTATAGTAGATTTAAGGATTGCAACACTTGACTAGCGTGAGGGTATGGGTTTGTGTGGATGACACTGAAAGGGACAAACCTGCATTTACAAGAAGAATGTATATTGAATAATGATAATGATAATGATGATAATGATTATGATAATAATAATGCTTAGACAAAGCATGAAAGTCTGGATATCTACTTTTCGAATAGTTACCCAGACACTGATACCAAACCTTCAAGATGCTTCTTAAGGTTTCACATAAGTGAAACTAGTTACCAAGTCACATTATCTCAGAGCCTTCAAAAAGTAACAATTTAACTATTTCAATGAATGTGAAACATAGAGCACCATGCAGAAGCTTTGGTGGTAAGCAGTGAATCATTCTTTACTGGAAAAGGCACAATAAAAGCAGCAAGAAAGAAAATGTACGTACTGATTTCTGTAGGCAAGATATGGAGAGAAAGAAAAGAGAAAAACCAGAAGATAACGTAAGAAAAAAATTTTAAGATCTAAACACAAATATAAAGTAAATTAAGGGACAGGATTAGTCTAGAGAAAAATTTATTACCTTTTATATATTGCATATCTGCATAATAAGAATTCAGAGCCTCAATTTTGACATACAAGAGAGGCTATGTCTACTTTAGCATGTAGTTGTGAGTGCCAATTTACTCACTATATACATTTGGAGTGGTTTACTCTGCATTTACTTTAACCTCATTCTGTATTCTGAGTATCCATTAACAGTTGGAGAGTGGTAAAAGTGTACTTCTGGAGAACATCTTCCAGTTAAGCTTTATCTGACATGAAAGAGTTTGCAAGTGTTAAGAACACTCCTCAATGTGAAACAAATAATGGTGACAGGGGAAAATCACCCCAGTCTAAATTACTTCTAAATTATCGCTCCTAATCTCAACTAAAGTGCTAACATACACATAGTCTTAGAATACTTGGGCTGGGACGGATGGCCTAGACTAGACCCAGTAGTGCCAAAAAATTACCACTTTTAGGCCACTTCTCAGTTGTTTATTATTAGCCTGCCAGAGGTCATTACCTCATAGATCTGCTTATTCCATAACCCACCATAATCTAAGCACACTATTTCAATTAATAACTATTTTTTATATTGTGTAAACTAGTATGGATCAGTCTGCTGAGTGGGAATTATACCTGGGGCTCATAGATGTATCTCAGTTGATGAGGGATCAGGACTTGTGATAGGCAGGCAGTAACAAACAGCCATTGGGATTAACTTCTTTCACTGGTACAGCTACAATTTGAAGAGGGTATTTCTCCATAGAATGAAAATGACAACCTCCTAAACTGCATGATTTTAGGTGTTCAGCCTCATCAATCTGACAACAATCTGGGGAGCCCAGGTTAGCTGAGAAATTAGTCCTTCAGTAATTTTGTAGACACTCTGGTTTCGCGGTCAGCCCTGGCCATATACTCCTATATGATACATTCTAGTAATCTACCATAAAATGTGTTGTAATTTAGAATTCAATTTTATCCATCATAACCAAAGTGAAAATGCTAAAGCAATTGTCACATCTGATAACAGAACTCACTGTCAAAAAAAAAAAAAAAAAGCATACAAAAAACCATTCACAGGTTCCCCTTTTTCTCTTTCTTCTTAAAAGTGTCTTCAGTGTTCGACCAAAAATAGAAAGGTGTGTGAAAGAAGTTATGCATTTCTCCCAGAACTGATTATCTGACTGTCTGAAGACAGGGTTATTGCGCAGAATTTTGCTTGAATCAAGGGATGAATTGCCAGTCAAAATCTTTGATTATTCCCTTCCTAAATACTTTTAAAAAGTATCTTGCAGAATAAATCTATCCACTACATGTTCATCCTGCTGACATTAGCTTTTTTCCCCAACTACTAGCAGCAGTCTTTAAGATTTAAAATCCTTTTTATATATAGAGTCCAGAAAATAGAAGTGATAGAGATTCCTTTTATTCCAGCATACTGCAGTAACCCTATGTGAGTGAAATTCTGGAGTGTCTCTGTTTCATTTTGAGATGCAAAATGAAAACCACAAATTGAAAAAAAATTCCACTGAACAACCCAAAAAAGATCTTACTGTTCTTGATAGGATCCTTCACAACAGCATTAGTTTTCGCCACATCATCTGCAAGTTTACTGTAGTTGTTTCTCAAGCCCAGGAGATTCTGGTTGAGGTCTTTAATCTCGGCCAGGACGTCATTTGCAGTATCGTTGGCTTGTCCTGCTTTCTCTTTGGCTGCCTGTACCTTTATAGCTGTATCTGTAGGTACAAAAGGATAATGAAATGATTGCCTAGAGTACAGAAGTGTCTTCACACATCTTAAGAGTAAAGTTGGGTCAAAATTCTACCATCTTAAATTGTGTTGTGTAGTTCTTTGAGAGCTCCTACTTTACATGTAGTAAGACATTACTAGTTGTAAGTGTGGACTGCAGAATCTGGCCCTTTACATCTTTGTTGAGACATCAAATGCACCTAAAGAAGAGAAAATGCTCCAGCTCCATTTGTATGTAAAGGAGAAATCATTTTTATTAGGTAAATTTTTGTGCAATTTTGTTGTTGCTGATTAACCTCTGATCAAGTATCAGATATAATATTTGATACTTAATAATAGAAATAGGACTTTCAGTGTTCTGATGTGCAGAGTACAGAAATCTAACTCCATGTGTTTCAGCTGAAACGTACAAATAATCTCGTGAATCAGGACACCAAGGATTCATTGACTGAATTAATCACATACATCCATAGACATCCTTGGTGACCTTGAGCAAAACAATTAGTCTAATGCTGCCTCACCTCTCTGCCTGCAAAATGGAAATGAATGTTCTATATTTGGAGTGAAATCATCCAAGTCTGGAATGTTTTTGATTCTGCTATTGATAAATGATAAAACAGTCAGCTAGGTATTCAAGTTGGTATTTATTCAAATCCTGTGTTATTAAATCGGATTGCTCTAAAACTTATCATGCAGCTGTTGAGCAGTTCAGGTGCTGTTGCCATGCTGGGATTACATGAGCCAGCAGCACACATTGTGCTGGGCTAGGGAGCTGCCAAATTTTCTGAATTGCCACAGATGGGAGTAAGTGAGCAAGCAGAGAATGTTGTGGTGGACACTCCAGCTTGCAAGGAAACCCATGTGAACTCCCACTCTACCACCACACCACAGCAAAGTCGTGGGACTCGCAGGAACCTGCTTGGAGGTGCTTTCCCCTTGTGTTCTCCAAGTTATCCTCATGTCCCTCAGACATATGAGAATTTTGGAGTGCAGCTCAGAAGTTTGGACACCTCTGAAACAATCATGTAGAGATAGTGCCAGCTGTCATACTGACTGGGGCTTCCTGTGGTAGTCCTTGAAGTTAACAGGTTGCATTGCAGTAGTGGGGAAGGCACAGGAGGTTGTGTTTCCTTTTCTAAGAGATAGTGGATACGGGTTAGTGTATACCAACATTTGTTTGAAGCAGATTGCACATTCCTTATTCTACGACTGTGTGAAGACATGGGAAACATGGACATTTTCTCCATTTCAAGGGATCAACAGTATAGGTTTCCAAATGGTCTCCTAGGTAGGTCCTTCTCCTTCTGTGGAACATCTGATGCAACCAAGCCTGTGGCCTGAGGAGCACATGGTGCTTCTTAAGGCCATAGAGAATTGGTGGGTTTGTCCTGCACACTGGAGAGTTACATGACCCTTTTTACTTCCTTGAGTGAAGATATATTACACCTGTGCTCCAAACAACTCCACCGTTATTTCTGAAGTTTTGGTTCTGAAAAGCCTCCAAATACAATACCTTGAAAATACAACTGAACCTTTAATAAACCGTTATCATCATCAGTACTGACAAGTGAAAGAACAGAGAACTCTGATTGCCTTTTTCCACTTCCTTTTTTCATCATATCTAAGTATCTCTTTTTGAGGCCATTATTAGAGGTCATGCACCTTTCTGGCAGAATGAAAGCTGGAGTTACTGTGTTACTTGTCTCTATCAGTCACACAAATTATATTTATTTTCACCCACACTTTAAATTATGCCTATCCCTGCACATGTGGGTCCTAAGGTGACCTACCCATCTATCCCATTTTGAATCTTTCTGCTTTTATTTGGGTATTAGTATAACATGGACACAAGAATTACTAGCTTAAGCTGCTCTCTGCTTTCTTGAATCCTTGAAGGACAAGAAATATGACAGGGTCATTTCCTCCCCCATCCTCATTGGTTAGTTCCCTGTTGGACAACTAATTTACTGCATTTTCTTATCCATGCCATTTATTTGCTCTGAATTTCATTCTTAATATGCATCCACTTGTTTATATGAGTGTCCTTGTCCCAAGAGCAAGCAGCCTGTAACTCTAATCTGACAAGGGTTTATTACATTGCTAATGGTTGCATATTTCATATTTCTTTTACTTGTTTCATATTTAATATTCTATGATGTCCTAAGGTCAACTGGCATTAGAGGTCCATTTTGTTTGACTGAGACATCCGTCTGTGCACAAGAGGATTAACAGTCATGTCAATACCTGTGGCCAAAACCCGGGAAATGGCATAAGATGATCATGACATATTAAAACGAATTTTGGTGAATGCCTGATTTCAAGGATCACTAAATCCAAACCAAAACTTTTGAGTTATCTGGAATCTTAAAGCCACGACAATGTGCAAGATGAATAGTAAACTGTTTTTCACACCAAGTTTTTACTTGCAGTCTGAACCTTCCAGACCATCACAAGTCAGACAGAATATAGATTTACTTTAGAGACTTTTCTTAAGATATATCTTCAGTTTGTAAAGTGCTCCTTTGAGAGAAAAGTCATAGCAAATTACATTGATAAAAACCTTTTTATTTTCTAAAACAACAATTCAGTTTATCACTGTCCATTATAATGAAGCTATATGTCATAGCTCCCTGTCTCTTGCTATCACAATACAAAGTAGGTAACATTGCAGAACTCTGGGATTTTAATGAGTATGACAGATTTTTTTTAAAAAAATTTCAGCTATATAGAATTACGAATGTGCACAGCACTTCAGAGTTCATTGAGGAAAGCCTGTCCCAGTTCTAAGCAATCTACAGCCAAAAAAAGATATACAACACCAAAGAGTGACTGGAAACAATACTGCAGCATAAATCAGTAAGAGTGTGGTAGAAAGGTAAGAAAACCCCCAGCAAATTTCATCCTGCTTTTTCTGTAAAGTCAGTAAGTCTGCTCTTCTTGGATTAAATTATACTGGTTAAACTATAATGGTTCATTAAACAGTAGTTTCATAAAAAGACTTCTCACTTTTAAAGAAAAGACTGTCTCAGATTGTATCATAATTCCTGATATCATAGTTCTTTTCTTTCTGAAACCTTTTGCAAACTGCAGTAGGATGGCACCTTTTACCAAGCCAAAATACAAACTGATACCATTTATCTGTTTTCAGTTCAATTCTCTCTCCCACATTGCTCAACTTCCTCTTATTACAGCGGCCAAGGGTCAAAGTGGACACAGCGTGGACACAGGCAAAGATTAATCAGACAGATGTTAAGTGATGGAAAATGAAACAAAACAGCCGGGACGAGTCAAGTGTTGCAGCACTTTTCCAGCTTACCGTTAGGAATGGCTGACAGCTTTCCTAAGGTTTCATTCAAAGCTCTCAGGAGAATGGAATTCTTCTCATCAGCATCTTTCAGCCTGTTCTGCATCCTGTCCAAGTTATCCCCATTTTCTAGAAAAAGTGCACATAGTACAGAAGCTTTAACTCTTTTTTTCCACTATGCTTTCTTTGCACATAATTTAAAATGCATAATAATGAGCAAGCCATTTATCATTAAGTTATTATATTGTGTAAATAAGGAAGTCCAGTAAAACCAGTTGTAGGGTTCACTGATAATTTTCTGTTTCTTTAAGATCCCTACTTCCATGGTATCTAAAAGCTTGAGTTTCTTGTACTGTTGTATATGTAGGGCTTTCCTAAGGTGTACAGAGGAAAGAAAAAAAATTACAATCACAGATGCCATGAGTTATGCAAATTCACACAATGACCCGCTGATAGATTCAACAAGTGTGATGTTTAGTCATAGCTTTGATTCCTAGATTAAGGTGCTACTGAAATTTTCTTCTTAAGGAGGTTGTCTGGGATGAATGATTTGAACATAGTGTGAAAGAGGCAAGATCGATCTGGTCAGCTTACTGTTGCAATTAGACTGGCCAGAGCCCAGTTCTCCTGGATTTTCTCAAAGATAACCAACGTTGACATAACATCTGAGGAAAACACAAAAGATCACCCTAGTAAATGGAAAAAGCCCACTTACTTAGTAAATAAAACTCAAAGCTAAGAATTTGTTCAAGCTGAAGAACTAGTACAAATCAAAGGCACAGATATGTCATATTCGGTACATTACAGATGAAACTGGTGTTGTCCTTTACAGGTAAGTTCCTATTCTTCAGCAGTCGCTTTGAATAATAATTATGCAGATTTTTGGAACAGTATCTAGCATAGCAATAATATTTCACACTGTCAAAAGTGAGATTTCAGCTAAGTTTTATGGCTATTTAAACAGACATTATTTCAAAATTTAGAAGTAAAATTTGGCAAAGAAAAGGCTAAGTTAATGCTTGAACTACTATCTTAGGGGGCATTTTTCATCATTTCTTTGTATCAATATGGAACTCTTTGGAACAGACAGATGGTAATTTCTTACCTTAAAGGCATGCCCTATTGGGAAACTAATTCAACATCACTGTGCTTGATAGCAGGAAGAGGAGAATAATTTGTAGAAAAGGAGTTTAGGATACAAAGAATAACTGTGACCTTCAGATATGTGACAGGTTATTGAAAATAAACACCTAGTTTTTGGATACTTATCCAAGTAGATACTGGGGGATAGGAAAACATAGTGGAGATGAGATTTCTTGGTAAATTATAGTCACATACTTGTCAAAACCAAAAAACATCTCTTTTTATAAAGATACAATAATTAGATGTATCACTGGTACTCCAGCACCTTCAGCAGCATCAGGGCTGTAACCCTTGTGTGAGAGAATAAACAGAATAATAGATTAAAATGAGGGATTGTGGTTCATGTTCCACAAATTCTAAAATGCAAGGCTTCTTAAAATTAGATGTGCAAGGAGCAATTTGTAATGAGAAAAATCAAACAAAATGTGTATTACCTACAAGAAATCATTAACTAAATTTTCCAAGACTGTAGCAAGACTGAAATAGTGGATGAAATTTAAGTGAGAATCATACTTCTGTGGTTAGACCCTTTGAAATGTCATTCAGGAAGAAATCTGTTTGCTTTATCTAAATTAGATTAACACATAGGACTGCAGGAGTGCCTGGAGGTAAGCCTTAATTCCTGCGAAATGACCTGCGGAGGAACAGGACATCAGTGTGAACTGTAAGAGGCACAGTTAACACTAAAGTTGGGAAGAATAATTTAAATTATAAGATCATCCTTCTCCTCAAAAACACCTTTATTTTTAAATGTGAGGTTTTGTCTCCACTGATGAATGAGGCTACTGGTAATGTGATGTTAAACTAGGATGAACTCATGAGATTCTGGTCTTAAATGCTCTGGGACTTTATCTGAGTTAATTTCTCGTTAAGCAGTAATACCAACAAAACTGTTTTAATTTCCTCCATTTAATTTTGAAATTATGGTCTGCCTGATACTTCCTTGGTGTCTCTGGTGCCTTTCGGAATGTTAATGTTTATAAAGTGTGTTAATATTTCTGAGATATTTGATTAATTTCCAGTGGTGGTGTACTAACTTTGTTGCATAGTCTTAAATTATCTCTTTTTCTCCTCTTTACTCTGCCAGATCCAACATTATGCTAATTATCCCCGGTTATATTTCTGAAGAATCATGTCTCCAGACTTCTGTTTTCAGCTTTGTAACCATAGCAGCAAACTGATTTTTATGGATTTTAATAAGGGAAATTTCCTTAGAACTCCTGAAATTGAATACTGAGACTCCACCTGTTTAATATTTTTTTCTTTTAATTCCTCTAATACATTTTAACTGTATTTTTAAAAATATTACAATAATAAAGCCATAAATAAGTGCCCCAAGGGAGGCTCTTACACAAAGAGATGTGAGGAAATACTAAGGCCCATTTCAGCTTTTCAAGGAAATTGTTCCTTTTGCATAGTGATATTAACATGAAGTTATATTTTAAGGTAACTTCCCATCCTGTAATCTAGATGTCCTCTTCACTAAACACTGAGCTAATTTTGTGTATGAATCACAAACTGAACTGACTTCACTTCAGCTTTTCCCCAGCCTTTAATTATTAGCATTTACAAAAAATGGTGGAGCTATGATTTGAAGGCCTGAGATCCTCCAGTTAATCATAGCAGCTGGACAAAATATAGGCAGCTACAGTCTGAGTTTTTCCAAGCTACACAGCTTATCTGACTTGGAAGAGGTTATTGGGTCTGCACAGAAAGATGTCAGGCACTGTCAATTGACATTAAAGTGTAGGTTAAGGAGTATCCTCAGAAATGTCTCTCAATCCTGTTTACACTTGATTAGCTCTGCACGGAGACGGCACGGGATGCCAATCAATGCACTGTTTATTGTTCAAATCAACAAAACTATTAATGTATCACTGAAACTAAACCCTAAGGAGTAAGCAGGATCCTGAAGGACCTTTAGGTTTTCTGACTTGGTTAACATGAACAAAGATTTTCAATTTCTGTTTATATTTCTATGGTTAAACACAGCATTACAGAATAAAGCACCATCCCTTTTCCCTCTAAGTGAATAAACAGAAATAAGTCAAATGAAAGTAATAAAAAAATCCCTACACTCATATGTTTCATTAAGAACTCACTTAAGAGCTCAGTTAATTACCATTTATATGCAGTGATCTATTTTTACAAGAGACGAGTATTTACAAGTGTCTGCAGATCACATCCATAGGTGGCATTGATTAATTACTGATGGTGTGCCACCTTTGCAATGCCAGTGGAAACAGATGTCTTCTGATAGTATGACCAAATGCAGTTTTCCATGTGAAACTGTCCAAGAAGGTATGACAGGGCTATGCTACCCAATGCATATCCCCCAAAACTGGAATAAAGGTGGAAATCCATCAAGGAGCAACATATGCAGCTGTTTTTATTGACTGGATGCTTACAAATAAGCTGGCAGTTAGACACATTCCTCTCTGTTACCTTTGTTTTGCTTCTTCCATGGAGCATTCTTGCTCCTCACAGTCTCATCCTATAAAGAGGAAGATGGGTCACACTGTTTTCCGTTTAAACAAACAAGACTTGGAAACTGGCATTAGGAACAAACAGGGGAAAGAGATATAACTAGAGAAATGCAGCTAATGATGGTTAACTTTTTAAAAAGACTACTTTCAGCACTGACTGCAGTTTTTGTATGAATATTATGTTGGTCATCAAACCAATGCAATAATTTGCTGAATGCAATACGCCAGGTCAGCAAAAATGCAAAGCAGAGGAGAATACACAAACAAGGGATTTAGCTGTGCCTATCAGCTGGAAAATGTTTTAACTAAAAATATTCACATGTTGTCAGACAAGACAGGTCCCCCTCAAGTTGTCAATTCTTAAGGAAAAGAAATGACATGAGCTAAATTTCAGCAGTCTCCAGCTGAAGAGGAATTTATACATCTTATTTTTGCTTTTCATTGATCAGTTTTGACAAAGTCTGTATATAGTTTCAAATCTGCAGTGGGGCAAGTATATTTTTAAAACAGTAAATTCAAAATTATAAGGAAGAAAAATTGCTCCTGGCAAACTGAAAATCCCTCAAGGCACAGAGAGAATGAGGCTGGCAGGCAGCAGCATTCACTCATTTGTAGCCAAAATTTCAAACCTCCTTCTTAGCCAGAGCACTACATACAGATTTTGCTTCTCCCACCAGGGTTATTCCTTCTTACTCCTAGCCCCACAGAGAGAGAAATGACTAAATCTCCATTTTAATAGCTTCTGTCAGCAGCTTTGCTTTGTAAGGACTGTTTCAGCAGTTTTTGGTGGTAATATAAAACATTTCCGTGATTAACAGCCATTTTATAACTAGGGTAATTGGCCACAAATCAGAGGAATGTCATAATGTAGCAAGAAAACACTCCCACCTCCATCACAGCCCAGCCTGAATTTCTGGCGTGTCTATTAGTTGAGTGGCTTATGGGTCTTCATTACTTTAACTAATATACTATCGGTAGTGCGGACAGAGAAATTTTAAACTAATGATTACTTCTATCTACTAGATCTTTATTGAGTGCCCATCATCCATTCTTCACTTCCAGTCGAGACTCTGAACAGGATGGCTTTGTAAGAATCGTAAAAAAAATATTGTTCTATTACTTTTACATTCAACTCTCACTTTCTGTCCTGGAAACACCAAGACATCCAGAAGGGATTATGCTCATAATACTAATAAAATCACCCCTTTGGAGCGAAAGAGAGGTGGGGAAAAAAATAAATCTATCATTGCAATTTCTTCTTATGCATCTGCATTCTGGGCACAATGTTAACTGATCTCTTTGGGTCATGCTGTGGAGCATGAGCATGTTTTATCAGACGCAAAAAGGCGTACTGTGAAAACTTCAGAATGTTTGTCTGTGTGAAGCACTTCAAATCTAAGACATATCAGAGAGCATTAAGAAAGCCCTGTCTTATTACCTTTACTGTAAAAGTACAGTATGGGGCAAGAACATAGACAAAGATCTAATGCATGCATTTTAAGCACTGCTCCCTGCTTGCATCAGGATTGCTTTATGTATCTTTAGACTGTTTAGACCTTCAGTTCTGAGTTATGAAACTGCTATCAACTTAAATTCTCACTGGCGTAAAATGGGAGAATAATATACTTTTTAAAAAAAATCTCGGAAGTAATGTCTTATTGACGTTGTAATACATCTTTTCTCAGGGTTAAATCTGACAGTCTTGTGGGCACATGGAACTGACATATATCCAAGTACAGACACTATTTTATTTTGTCCTTGAAAACAGGGCACTGTGCTCTCTGGAACACGATCACTCCGTTATAACTGCCCGGGGAGCACACCAAGCTATGGACTCCACTCTGGGCGTCTAGTCTGCTCAGAGGAATGCTGCAGCAGGGAAGAGGCAGCACCGCCGATTTAACGTTTCCTAGACACTAGCCACGGCAAACTGCAGCAGTTTCCATTCCAGAAAAGGGCACTAACAGCATCCCTATTTGTCCTACTTCAGCCATGCTACTTAAATTGCACACTGGCCTTCCTCTGCAGTCTTGTGACTTTCTGTAACATATTTACTGAAACATGCCCCTCCAGCCCTAAATCTGTACTGAATCTGGCAGTAAAGAGTCGCAATAAAGAACACCCTAAATACACATCCAAGATTTACTACTAACTGCAGACACATTTTTTTCTCTGAGCTGCTGCAAGAAAATAATGTTTTTAACTGTCAGTCTATGACAGTGAAATGTAATTAATGACCCTATGAAACACTATGCTTTATGACGTTATTAAACATTACGTTTACTTGTTAACTATCTCTGCAGTGGAAATTCTAGAGCTGCCAAAACTAAATGAAAGTGTAGTCATAGCCAAAAGATGACTCTAAGTTGTATGGATATCATCCTTCATGCTGTATGCTTTTTGTAATGCATCTCCCAGGAGACCAATGAAAATTTTCTATGTTAAAACCTGAAAGTCTAGACTCTACTATAAAAATCTGTCTTGTTTCTAATAAAAAGTATTTTAACCACTCTAGCATGACAGGGAAGCTTCAGGCATCATCTCTGTGACAAGCAGTTTAAATCTCAACCTCGAATATTTACTGTGTGTGGTTTTTCTAGTTCTGATGCATGAAACAAACAAAAAAACAAAAAATCCCAAAAACCACCTCAGCTTGATTTTCAGATCCTATGATGAGAAAAAAAAATACCATATCATAGCTGTTTTCCTCTCCTCATCTTTATTTCTTCCAAGTCCTAAATCTGTTTTCTCACAAAGGTTTTCAAGTGTTATGCTTTTCCCATTCTTGTGGTTAATTCCAGGTTAACCCTATTATAGCTTCAGGCAATCAAATAAGATTAAACTATAATGTACCTAGTATGAAAGAATTTTTCAAAAACTACAGTGACTGGACACAAGCTTCTCAAAATGTACACAACAAAAGGGAGGGGATTACAGTGTACTAATTTGGAATAAACCACAAAGTTATCAACTTGAACTTATTCTGTCTAGACTAATCAAAATATTACTCACTATTTGGATGAAAGACCTTCAAAACAGTTGTATGGAGGACTCAGTTAATTGATCCTCATCTCAGACTTTACTATACCAGCGGCACAAACACTGTATGCTCCTAAGTTGCTTGCTTTGTTATATGTAAAAACAAAGCAATTAAAGCAGTAACGTTTAACATTTTTCACAAAGGCAGATGTGTGAAACTCAGTGTTGGCCTACTTGAAAGTGGATAATTGTATCAGGCTTATTTCCCCTCAGGTTTAGTTGAAATGAATTATTTTTTCAATTCCTTTCTAAGACTGCTGTGGCGAAAGAAGTGTTGAGTACTGTTAAACAGATGCTTCATTAGTGCTGCAATAAGTATTTTCTTAGAGGACCTAAAAAACAATCTGTCTGGATAAAGACGCAAGAAATAAACTGCTTTTGGTTGCAATGATCAGAAGATCATTGAATCATAGGCTCAGAACAGATGTTTGTCCAAAGATCATTTTTCTCTTTCTGACCGACAGTTGTTCCTCACTGATGTTTGTCTAAGCTGTTGTCAAAGAGCTTCAATGGTCAAATCTCCCTAATCTTTTCAGTAATCAATTCCAATACTTCTGTATTTTAATTACAAGGAAGATTTTGCTAATACATGATCTGTATCAGTGCATTTGAGATACATTAGTCCCATCTTCTTTGGCAAAACCTTGACATAAATGAAAAATATTGAGTCCCTACTCAACTGTCTCTTTTTCAGTCTACAAATTTAATTTCAATTTTTCTCCTCATCTCTCCTCCCCTAGATCTCCAATTCATCTTCATAAAGTCTTCAGGACTCTCTGTAAACCTCCTCAGCCCTCACGAAGTTCAGGCCCCGCAATTGTAGCCAGTAACTTAGCTAAAGCTCTAGGAACCCTCAACAGAGTGGAAGGATTGTTTCATGTGTTTTGGAAAGCCACGCTCCTATTCATGCATTCCTCTGTGACATCTGCCTTTTCCACCCCTACCCAGCACATGATCCATGCTTCTCTTTAGTCTCCCTCTAGAGAAATGCTACCCAGACAATTGCTCCTCATCCTGCATTTCTGCAGCTAATTATTCGCGTATGTGTGAAGCACCATGCTGACTACTGTCCTACCTTTTCACGCTATGGCATTCACCAATAACACTCTAATTTATTAATGAGAAAATACTAAGGATGTTATAAGAGCACCGTCTGATCTGAATTACCAGCTTTTACATCTCACCAAACAGCATAGTCCAAATCCTTTTTTTTTCCCCAGTGGAAAATATTGACTAGAAATTAAAGATGTTTTACTTTTCACTGTGAAACCAAAGTATTTGGTTTGGAATCTACAAACTTTATCATTTGAGCTGCATTTAGACATGTATTTATGCTTTAGGAACAAAGAAAATTGTTTTTGTGTGTGAAAATAATAATTTTTCTCTAGAGACATACTTTTAGTTTCATTTTTTATAGAAAACACTAAGCAATTCCCTCCCGTTACTGTTTGGCAAACATCTCCATTCTACCTCATCATGCTTCTCTTTTCTGGCACAATCCCATAAGCATCCTGAAGAGATGTGGTGCCTCTGACTGGCATTGCAAGCCCTGCTTCTATATTGGCTAGAATAGAATATTGGCAATTTCTGCTAGAGCATTTAGTAAATCAAAACCAGTACTTCCATTCCCCTCTCCTCCCCACTTACTCTTGCTCTTACTGTAGTTAGTAAGAAACGACCAAGGCTCCATCCTCCTCAGCCTTCCTGTCCGAGAAACGGACAGAAGGGACAAGCACCCCTGCATAATGCCTGGACCCAAAACAGGAGAATCCTTTTCATTGATACATTATTCAATTTCAAATCAGATATAGCAAATTATACTTTTTTCTACTGATATGGCTTCTTCATACCGGAAGTACAGTGGTCTCACAATGTTTTTCTTGTATTTAATGGGCCTGAATGGCATATATTGCACATACCTTTAACATCATTGTCTAACATCTTGGCTTCATTAAGGACCCTGAAGCTCTTCTGAAGTGAGCTCTTGGCGCCATCCTTCAATGATCCTCGAGGACCAGATGTCTGTAGACAAACAAGCAGTGTCATACATACAGGAAAGTATGAAGTCGTAAAAGATACATGAAAATGATCTAAGTGAACAATCATCTATATTTAAAGTGAACTTCAGTGTGCGCAGAATTATATCCCACTGCTGTTATATTCGGCCTACAAGACGCAAAAAATATTATTTTTTCTCTAATTAATTTCCTTTAGTTTTTAGGGGAAGCCAAATCTCCTTTGGAATACCAGCGATGACTTTAATAAAAAGAGAAAATGTCTCTGGTGTTAAAGAAACAGATTTGACTCTAGGAGCAAAACTTTGTCCAAAACAAACACACAAAAAGATATTTAAACTTGAGCACAGGTTTCTCCCTCCAGCTATGGCCAAAACACCATGCAATACAGTATTTCTCCCTAATAGCTGCTACAGTACCTTTAGAAGCCAGACTGGAGCTGATGATCCACATTCTAATATCAACAACAGAGATGCCTTTGTGGTTAAATTCAAGAATTGTAATTGCTAGGTCAGTAAAGAAAATATGATATAAAAGAAATAGAGCTTAAAAAAGAAGGGAAAACTGCAGTTAATCTGAAAGAGTTTTATTACTAAATAAACATCCTTCATCATATCATGCTGCTTAAAGATCTTTCTTTTGAAAAACATCCATCTCTATCTTCAGTGCAGAGATTGATCAATAGATGGAATGATTTTTCTAAATTAGATTAGTATTTTCAGTTGGTAGGAAATGCTTTAGGTTCTGAACCACTCACTGTTCAGTTTGGAAGACTGAACTCAGGTCACACATCGTACTGAATACATTTCTTTGAGAATACTCCTGACAGCCAGATAACATTCTATATTAGTCATGGGTCACAGCCTTGTAACTAGTATGTAATTAATAAGCAGCTACTTTTCATTTTCCAGGGCAGATACATATACTCAAAAATTAACTGGTGTCAATTAAATAACACAGTTATTACTGCTATTCATTATTTATATAATGAGTAAGCCCAGAGGTGATATTTCTCAGACTACTGAATCTTTGTTGGGTTTTGATGCCACTGTAAAAACCATAGCTTGGACTTGCCCACTTCCTTTTCTTTTAAAAATCTTAGGGAATGCTTTGGATACCTTCAAAATTCAGAATGAATTTTTTTGTTACAAGATATCTCATGGCATATGTTGCCATGTCACAGGGATATAGCTATTAAAGATTCCTTGTATTCATATGGGATGTAAATGTATGCTTAGCTTTCATCATAGGCTAAGTGATTTTAAGAAGTAAGGTCCACATGACTGCCATGTTTCCAAGCTCATATGAAATATTAAACTGTGTACACAAATTCCTTTCAACATCAACAGAAACTATACATTCAAAAGCTGAAAAAAATTAGTTTCTTATAGGTTTTCTGTATCAGATAACACAAGTATCATTGGTAATAGAAAAATACATATAAACCTAGAAAAAAGAAGACTATCCAATTAAGCAAAAGACTTTCCCTGAAGGAAGAATGTTTGGCCAGATTTTGTGGCAGATGCACCTGTCAAATCAGATGATACTTTTCTATTCCTTTGCCCATTAGCAACAGATCCCAGGGTATGATCACTCTGTGACCATGGACTTCCAAAATAATGATTGTTATTATTATTATTAAAAGACTACACATGGCTTACTGGCTGTTAAAGCAGTAATACAATTCAATACATTGAAGTTGGAAGGTCAGATTTACAATGCAAAACCAAGTAGTTCATCAAATCAGGAACAATAATTGGGCATGGGCTGACAATTAGTCAGGAAAATATTTCAGCATAAAGTTAATACTAGAAAAGCCCCTTCAGAGACAAATACACTTGTACCGATTAAAAGCTTTATTTTATAGTTATTTTAAAATAATTCTGACAGGGAGGACTAATCAAGACATCTGATGCAAAACATGCTTTTTTTTTATGCTAGCTTTTCTTGTGGCTCATAAGACATTGAGTTATGATGAAGTCAATAATGAAAAACCAAACATTTTCTGGCTTTGTGTGAGGTGAGTTTGTGTCCTTGTGGCAAGCCTGGGTCATGATGAGCCCCTTTATGATTTAATAAGACTAACAACCAAGGGTCTTTGATATTACTTTCTAAATCAGGATACTTGTTGTAAAAAAAAAAAAAAAAAAAAAGAAAAGAAAAAAAGAAAAAAAGAAAAAAGGAAAATTGCAGGGTCTTTGGAACCTGATTTGTTCTAATTCTGCCTCTTTCAGAGTGTCCATAACCTGAGGATAGTACCTTCCTCACCCTCTGCTTTCTGTCACAACCCCTTCCCTCCCCATGCAAACTATGCAGCTTGAACAGCTTGTAGCATCTTCTGGCAGAAGTGGGATCTCATTATGTATCCAAACAATGCAATCTCAATCATGGTTTAGGCACATAAATGCTGTTATAATAATATAATGCAAAATGCTGCCACTGAAGATATACATCATCCTTAATGGTTCGGTTTTTTCCTATCCATGGGTTAGCAAAATTTTTAACAAAGTTTAACATCAAAAGAAAAACTTCTATCAAATTACAGAAAAACTATAAATTGATAATTAGCAGACAATTTTGGCTAAGGAAAGCATCTAGAAAGAATATCCCCTCTGTCTTCCTTTTTCTGCTGTTTCAATGAATCTTGAACTCTGTTTTTATCAAACAGCCCAGCTTCTGCAGGAGTGGTAGAAAGATTTCAGTTCAGCCCGTAGCCTGGTGGGTAATGGCACTTTCCTGGGATGGAGGAGATCCCTTCAGATCTCCCAGGGATGATTGGGTGAATCACTGACTTATCACATTAACAGGGAAATGTGTTACACGCTGCGAGTTTGAATAAGATCAGCCATAGTCACAGCATTGTGAAGACAGCTCCCCCAGCCGCACGTGCTGGGCATGGTCTGAACACGCACCAGACTGAGAGTTGCTGGGGACTTTGCAGAAAGGAATTTTTTCGGAGGGTTCATGAATGGATGTAAACATGAAGTAGGCACCATGTTGCTCAGATCAACATGCTGACATGTTGGAGATTTTGGTCCCATGCAGAGGTACAGCTCCAAGCACGGATGTAAATGCACTGGGGCAATTTTGAGGACCACATACTTGAACTTACACAGGTACAAGGTATTTTATAGACCTAAGTACTAATTCACATCAGTTAAAAATAGTTCTGCCTTATTCTTAAATTATTTTCTTCTCACATACACTTATATTTTGGGAAGTTTCACCTATGCAGGCGTTAGGGCTACTGTCATTTTTACCAGTCCTGAAGATAGCTGAGCATTCTGAAGTACTAAAATGTTATGAATGATTTCCACCTCAGAACATCCTCACGAGGAGGGCGGCTAGGCACCTTTATGCCTTTACCACATAAGGAAACCTAGACACCCAACATAACTCCTGGGGTACCACCACAAAGTAAGTCAAAAGCAAAGAAGGAATTAGAACCCTAAACAGCTAACATGACTCCTGTGGTTCTGGTTACTAGCCTATAAGCCCTCTCTAGAAAGCCTAAAAATAATCACACTTTTGCAAGATGTAGTGTAAAACTATGATTCTGATCTGTGAGACACAAGCCAGATCTGTTAACAAAACTCCTCTCTTCAGTTACTGCCTTGGCTAAGTAATGGGATGTTGAAGCTGCTTGAATGCTAGAGATTTCTCATCTGTGATAAATTTATTTTGCTTTTAAAGCGGAGAGCAAATCCATCATAAAAAGCTCAGGAGGAATTTTTCTGTCATATTTTTAATACATTTTTTCCCAGTAATTTATCAGGCTTCCTGTAATCACGATGGATTTTAAGCATCTTTTCGTTCTTGCTTTTAGCAACCATTAGCTTAATTTGAAAACAAAGTAATTTTCCCATTACAAACCAAAAAACAAAAAACCCCTGAGATATCACTAAGGTTCTTGTAAATTATTTGCTCCAGTGATGTACAGGGTGGAATCTAAATCTTAATCCTGTCCCTGCCATCTCTAGTTCATGCACCAGCTTGCTGTTGTTGGGAAACCTTCTTCCCTCTGCCCCAGCATTGCAGCTGGTCAATGGGAAAGGCTAGGCTTAGGCACACATGTGAGCTTCAGCACTTTTCTCCGCTACCCGCTACCATCTGGAGATCAGAGTCTTTTACAGAAGACAGGCACCCACAACTGCTCTCATAAAGACGAGAACACAGGTCCATCTTTGAAAAGGAGGGGAAAGATGTGATCTCTGTCTTCTACACAGGGTCCCAAAGAGCACCTTCTCAGGAAGGGGGGACACAGTTTCTAGGGACTTCTCAGTCTGAGGGGGCTCAAATCCACAAATGCTGCCTTCTAGGAGAGTGCTTGAACCACGGTGCTCCAGACAGCCCTGAGTGAGGGTGCACTCCAGCCCTCATGCTGAAGCTCAGCTACAAATAAGTTCCTTAGGGCCTGCAGAAAGAGGGAGCCTGATTTACTTGCTTAGTAGTTAAGCTCTTCACTTAGGATGAACGAACATTCAACAGTCTGCATAAAAAACAAAAAAATAGAATAGTGAAATGATGACTGAACTTCACAGTTAACATATATTTTAAATCTGGCCCCCAATCCTAACATTTACCAATTAATGGTTAAAATATACCTTGCTCTGCAGCAATTTGATGCTGCAATTTACCTCTACTCTATATCGAGTCAATTACACTTAAAAGGCAGGAGGCTTCCTCCATTTTCTTCTTTATCAACTAGACCCCTGTTACACATATGCAGCTCATAACAAAAATAATGAATACATGCAATGGAGGTGCTTAAAACCTCACCGCAATAATATCTTAGTCTCTTTCCTTGCTACTCACTTGCCTCTATTTACATCATATTGTCCATCTTCACCTCCATCCCTTTCAAATTATCTATTCACTTTCTCTCCATGGTATAATCAGCCAGTTCACTGTCTGATATATACTCCTTTGTAGCCATACTGTAATTGCTTGCTTTGCTTCTTGACTGCTGTATGTGTCTTTTTTTCCTACTCAATCCTTGAAACAGCTGCCTGCCTCACTGCGAGTCATCACAGGAGCAAAAGATAGTTACCTGCATTAAATCCGAATGAGAAATAAAAAAATCCACAGTTCTTTATGCAATGTAATTAGGAGTTCTGGTGAAACAAATAACTATTTACAGAGAACTAGCACATATTTATGCATGAGATGAAATTTTTTCATCAAGAGAGAAATATAGTAATTAGCGTTATTTGAAATAGAAGCTGACAATGTAAATAGCCTAAAAATACTAAAATTTTTGTGCAGTGGCTAGAACACTTTATTGCTCTCCTAAATACAGACCTCTACAGCATGTGATTGCTTTTGCTATTCTCATAATCCATTTGACTGAAGTAGGTCTCTGCAAGCTACCTTTATTCATGTACAAGTGCTGTAACTACAAGTTGCTTCTATTCATCTGTATGTTTCTGTATCAAATATAGGGTCTGGAAATTTCATATTATACCATCATTTTCTCATGTTTCCGTGTGCTTGTGAAGTGCACGTCAGCTGCTCTCTGACCGAATTTCACAAATCAGCCATTATTTTTACTTGACATAAAAATAATTCTGGCTACGCTCAGAATGTTTTCTGCTCACAGTATACGCACGCATTAAGGAGCTGAGTTCCTTGTTATGAGTCAGACTGGAGAGCTGGCTTTACCTTACAATCCCATTTTTAAAAGTTCTCTTCTTTTCCTCTGAAAATTTGCATGCAGTAATAGTGAGCATCAGATTTCTCTGCAAAAAATGGCAGAGTTCACAAAAGAAGCTGTATAGTTTCTATGAATAAAACTTTCTGTTCCCCTCCTACAATTCTCCATTTCTAGAATTCTGTTAGGTGCACACAGTTCATTCTATGTGCAGACAAGTGCCTCTGAGCATTTTCATGGAACGAGATGGTGAAGAGTTAATTAAGGTATGGAGTTCTTTAGATGTGTGCAAAACATTTGTTAAATATCAACTAGCTTTACTGGATATCAAATGACCTACACTCCTGACTCAAAGCTTTCCTGCAGCAGCTGTTGGCTTGAGCCATAGGCAGGGTCTGAAAGGCGGAAGACAGAGGGAGGAAGAATAGTAAACAAAAAGGGAAAGAAAAATAAGGAACAGGAGTTAGGAACAAATGGGGATGTAGTCTGAAGGTACACATAGCTCTGACAGGGGCATGGCTTTCTAATCTCAGCACAAGGATCTATGGTGGCAGGGGTCTCTAAATAAAGTCATGAAGATGGCAAAACATGGATCTGAAGTAAGGTGTAGCACAGCTCCACAGAAAATCTAAGCCTTCTTCCCAATTTACTTATTTTTCTTACCGCTTGCATAGCTTCATTTGCAAGAGCCTTGGCTTCCTTGGCAACTTTTTCAGCTTCATCTGTGTAATCCTTGATGTTAGTATAAGCATTGAAAGCAAGTGTGGCATTGAAAGAGAGGTTTTTGGCTTCAGCAAGGATTCTGTTGGGATGGGAAAAGTAAACACACCATTAAACCTGCTATCAGAGCTCAACAGAACATAGTATCCTACTTTTTCAAACCCAACAGCCTCTATTTCTAAAGCATTTCTTTAGAGAGCAATGCTACACTTGAGATTTCAGGAGTTCTGGCATCATATCTTTAATGGAATTCACATTTTATCTCTGCAGAAAGACATAAAAAACAATGATTGCTAAAAGAGGAGGTTCCGTGAGATAAAAATGGATAAGACACTGAGAAAAGATAGTGTAGTGCTTAACACTATAATCTGGACAACACATATTCATAATGTGGGTATATAGGTAATGTGTTGAGCCAGGCAACTCAATGAATTTTGCACTGTATGAACATGTGAGGATCATCACAGGCATGTTTTAAAGTAAAATCTATGAACAACTAATTTCTTGGTCTGCCTGCCAAACATAGAAATGCCAGATTTGGAGGAGATCTCACTGTCTAAACCAAATCCTAAATGTTAATTTTGCTGACGGAAATGAAAAACATAACCAAAAATGCTTCATATTGAATGGGTTGTTCCATTTACATGAAATACTCCATTCTAATAACTACAATTAAATTAAAAGGTAATTATAAACAAATAATATTTCCTGGTGCAGGGACTGGAGCTCAGCTAACCCCCTTTCAGGGGAATTTCTAGCCAGCAGGCCGGAGAAATCACTTTTGCACTCTCTATGCATGAAATATTCAAGTATTTTCTAGAAAGTAGAACTGTGCCTACAGAATTAACTTGAAGAGATCTATCTCAGAATATATTACACCTGATGCCTGTGATGCTTTTCCTGAATAAAGAGTAAATGGGCTAAAATCCCTGCTTGAACTGGACAAGAACGGATTTGAACTTGGATTTTTTCCTCTCTGGGAAATGTTCTAGCCATCAAAATATATGGCAATATAAGGGAGGCAGGGATTACTCCTGCTGGACCTGTTCCAGCTTGTATAAAATACTTAGTCATTGAGACAGTGTGTGTGTAAGAAAGAGAAATTCATTCTTTAACCTAGTAATTAACCTATTCTCTGGTGAACAGGGACAGCTGGGTTCCAGTCCTCACTTCAATGAGTATGTAATGATTTCTACAAAATGCAACAGGAAAGACAAAGGGAATGGAAGGTATACTCCCTGGACTCCACATATAGTTAACAGAGGGAGAGAGACTCCCTTTAGGCTACTGACTGAGCTGCCTCTGCATCACTCCTGGAAAAGCATATCTCCTTCCTCAAATACAGATGGAGCTCACTAGGCCATAGTAAGTTTTTGTGATACTCGGTTGGAGAAATGTGCAGCCCAGAATAGCTATCTAGCTAGTAGCTCAAGTACTGCTTAGAAATATGGTTCAAATCCCTTCTGGTTAGGAAATAACTGAACTGAATTTGCCAAATACCAATGATGATTACTCATCAGCAGGCGATTAGACATAAGGGAGAAGCCTATCCAGCTACCTCCCTGCATACAGAAAAAATAACAGTTATTTCTAAGTTAAATTAATGAACTGTTCCATGTTCTAACTCTCAAGAGAACATCCTCACCATCAATCTACATACTATTTGAAACCTTAGAGGGTGATTGGAGAGAAAGGGGTCTCCCTCAATTACTCCTGTAAGGCGAAACATTACTTTTCAGCAAATTTAATATTAACTGAAAGGCAAGTGTCAGTTGTGAAGATGATGATAGATACATTTTTGATTTGCTAAGACAGATAGAGACTGCATATTCCTGTAAAGTATGACTGTTTAATGTCAGTCCATGAAGTAAACAGCTTTATCCTGATGGAGGATTACATAGCATCTTGGTATTTCTCCTTTGAAATGAACTGTATCTGACCACATGAAAAATTTTAATTTTGAAAAATTTGCTTTTAGATATCATTTTTAATGCCCTTGATTCTGCATTTTTTATTGTATATCTTGAGAAATAGAGGTTGATGTCCGGATCAGATAGAAGTATACATGGTACTGATATACCACAGCGGATGTGCCTTTAAACACTACCCTAAGCTCCCTAAGACCAAGCCGTCAACCTACATTAAGACAGAAGCACATACACGCACCCATTAAAAAAGTCTATTTAGCATAGTTATAAACCTCTATCTCAAAATATGCTTTGCCAACATTTCATTAGGGATGCAAAATATTCTTTTCTGTCTACATTTTCTCTATGTCTTAGTTCCTCCATGCCAGCTTTCCATGTGTTTGGATATTTAGATCCAAATTCAGTACTGTGGTTGGATGTGACACTAGTCACCTACTTTAGACCTGGAGATGCACCACAAAACTGATGTGTCCTAATCAGACAGTGCACACACCATTTAAAACCCCATGTTTTTCTAGAAACAGTGGCCTTCAAATCCTTTTTACTCAGGAAACCACAGCTATCATCATTTTATGTACTCTTCAAAACATAAATTAGATTGAATATCTAGAGTAGTGTGACTACACTGTATATGAAGCCAGTAATTTTACAAGTATCAGCCACTTTACCAGAGATAATTCTGTGCCTTTTCCTCAAAATTACAGATGCTGGCAAGAAAAAAATGTGTTAAGCGTCTGCTCCCAAGTCTTTGGGATATTAAAGTCTTTAAGTAGATCTAAAAGATGTAAGCAGCAAAAGAGGAGCATATTGTTGATGTTAAAAAATAATGTCTCTTTTTAATTCATGCAATGCTTTTAAGAAAATAAAACTCTGACAGTATGCTGGGGACAGGTCCAAAAGGCAGAATATTCATGATCTCTTTCTGTGTATTTCTGTTGCAAATTCCATTTACTATTTATGGCTTGCTTGCTTAAATACAAAAAACACAATAAAACAAAAGACATCTCCCTTTTCCACCTAAAAAAATCCAACAGACTCAAAACAAAACCGAAAAACTCACAACTTCTATTCCTTCCAGGAAACTATATTAATGATGAATTATAAAGTATCATACTTCTGAAAGGACTGCGATCATATAAACCAAGGGCACTGCAAGTCTCACTTATATTTAGGAATGTGATAGTGGTAAACAGAAACTGAAGTTTCTGTGCTTAGGTTTAAGCATTTTGGCCCATGACACTTACTCATTTCAGGAAACTGTTTTGAAACCACTAGAGGGATTACTGTCTGTCACTACGGGGGATTTCTGACAGTAAACAAATTAGCACCACAATAAGGGTCTCCTACCAAAATGGTCATCTTAAAAATAATAATACTGCTTGTTTTTAACAAATGCTTATGAAAACACATAGTGAGCTCTGTAAGACAAAGTTCAATTTTATTCACAACAACACAGCAGAAAGCATATGTAAGTTAAACTGTGTTAGGAGTGCATCTGAGGGCATTGTTTGCAGGTAATGCAGCCTGTAAGCATCACAAGATGTAGGAAAAGGTTTACAAGAGATACATACACACACATTAACCAACTAGATAGTTGTGTACTCATATAGAACACTGGTTATTTGTATACTCCCAGTGACAGATGTCGAAGTTTAAGAAGAATGCCCTTCAATTTCTATCAAGCAATTTTACAAAACTGCTTCATGATTCTATCATTAACAATAAACGGCCACCTTACCCATCCAGTACTGCAGATGATTCATTCAGCTGGGCTGCATGGTTCTCAGCTTGCAGCACCTTTTCTGGAAGCATCCTGTCACGAATTTCTTGTGATAAGTCATCTATTTTATCTTTCAGCTGATCAGACATTGGCTGTATCTTATCTGCAATGCCTTCTACATACTGAAAATGACAAAAGAAAGGCCTTTAAGTGGCTGAATGCAGGCACTCTGTTGCCCTTTATAGATATATGTTTGCCTTGTGAGGTATTATCTCATAGCTTACCCATGCATTAACACTTCAGGGAACTAATATGGAAATAATATAGGAATGGTTGGACTGGAGAGTAGAGGGGAGTCAAACCAATATTCCAAGATCTACTTGCCTCTCTTGAAATTAGTAGAAGTTTTTGTTTTACAATTAAGGAACTGCACAGTTGTAAAGCTTAGAAACTCTAATTTGGATTTCTTTCCTAAATGTAGATGCACACATAGTTATACTAAATTGTCATTGTACTCCACAATACTAACTAAGCAATGACACAAGTTTCACATTTTAGGACACTTTCAGTGACTCCAATGTATTTTTGCTTATTAAAGTGCTTTAGTAAGAACTATAGTTTTTGAAGACCTGCAATTCCGGTCTCAGTAAACTGTCTCAAAGTGTTTCCCATTTCTTCAAAAGGCATTTTTCCATTCATTATAACAATTTCCAATGCAAGATGAAAATATTTCCAGAACCAATGATATTTCAAGATTTTCTTTCTTTTTTTTTTTTTTTTTGGTAGCTAGGGCACTGATCTCAAACTATGTTGATAAAACTTTTAAGGTAGAATTTTAAAAAACGTTATGTAAAATGAGAGTGTAATCCTTTCCCTGATCTATCTAGACTTAAAATTGTTGCCACAGGCAACAAATTATTTCTGAAATTTTCTTCTGATATGCACACACAGTTTTTGTGCAGAGAAATCTACATCTAGATCACAGAGTCACAGTGAGATGGTGAATGGGTCTCCTGCATCTGCAATTCTAAAGATAAAATCAGTACCGCAATCACAATACCATATTTATAAAAGAAGGCAGACTCCATGAAAAATTATGAGCTAGCTCTTTATGTAACCCAATAAATCATTTAAATCTCAAAGTTAATCATTTTTATATAACAGGTTAGCTTTTCTGCCATACAGCAATGGAAAAATTATTTTTTCCAATTCAAATATTCCAACATTGATAAATAAAAAGAAAAATCAGGCGTTACTTTAATTATCAATTTTGCTTCCATAATGACACTTCATTGTACTCATTCTCAGATAAGGATGATAAACCACTCACCTCTACAGCTAAGCTGATTTCATTTGCAAGTTTGTTGGCTTCATTAAGGACATCATTCCCTTCCTGCAGGCTCTTTTCCACATCTTGTCTGCCATCTTCTACAGCTTGCTTTTTTTTCTATAGAATGTGTTTACACAAAGAAAAATATGAGTTGTTTAATACAAAGGGGACAACAGTTTAAATACCAGCATCCCAATACAGACTGCATTTTGTCACCATGCCACAAAGGCTAGACTTCTGGAATTCTCTGAGCTTTCTGAGAAAAGACAGTGATGACGATAAAGCACATATAATGTAAGATATCTTTTCCTTCTCCTCCTGTCCCCAACTTTGTATCCCCTTCTCCACATGGTAGGGTTTTTCATTGCTTTATTACAGAGGTAGCTAACTGTAGTACTCTTACAAAATGAATCAGAAAGAAGTTAGAAACCCTAAGTTTTACTCAGATGTGCAAGTTCCTCATTGTGACAATTACTTTCTCTGGCTATGAAGGCAAGATTCATCAAAATATTCTGCTGCTTTCCTATTTATGTCCACTGGTGTTTCAATAACTATTGAATATAAAATACAAAATAATGGTTTGTAGCAACCTTAGGATTCTTTACCTTCCAACTAGTAAAAATACCGCATATTGTGTAATAAGGATGGCTTCTGAATAAGGAACTAGCAATTTCCTGAGCAAGATCCATTGAGTATGACAGATTAGTTTGATAGGAGACCATGGCATTCTAGTGTTAAAGAGTGCTGTGATGGCTTCTTGGTCAAAATAAAGCAAAAAAACCTCCTTGCAACAACCAGGTGGGCAGGACTGCTAGAAAGGATGCCTTCAGGCACCCTGATATTGTGATGCATAGAATATTTTAAAAACTGAGATAGCAAGTAATTTCTCCAACCATTATCCATCCACCTTTGGGAAGAAAATGCACAGAACAGAGACCACCTAACTTATTTACAGCACTATATTTCCTTAATTCAATCAAGCCCACAAATCTCTGCTGAGAACTGAGGTCTTGGAACTCTAACCTCATCATTGTACATGAGGCAAAAGCTCATCGAGATACAAACAGAGTTTAAACATTTATCTTCATTAAGTTGACTCTGCTCTTTATGTCTTGGTTAAATGCTTGTTAATGTCCAATATAATGTGCTCTTTAAGTCTCTGCAATTTAAATTAAATCACAAGCAGACCCCTCTGCTATGAGGGAGATCATTTATAACAGCTACTAACTACAGAGGGTAGAGTTTGATTTATTACTCTTTAATATCCAGATACTCCCTTCAGTCTTCTTCCCAAGGGTTGGAGAGGGAGATGAAAGTGTAAGTTTTCTAGGAGCAAATATATGACAGCAAGGATTTTAACTGAACTCCTATTGAAATATTGAGCACAGGATTTGAATTTTACATGACTATTTATACTGGGATGAATCTAATCTCCCCCAGAAAAATGAATCCAATGCACTCTCCACTCAGTGTTTAAAATCAGATCATATTATTTTGATAAAGCTGTGGAGTAATTCTACTTTTAAAAGCCAGTGCATTTCCTCATTCTGAGGAACATGTTTCCTTTTAATTACATAAGATCTACTTACATTTTAATAAAATTTTCATTTTGCCTGTATTTTTGATCCCAGATTTAATCATGAGAAGTTTCAAACTTTGATCAGACTCCACATAATCAAGGATACAACTTGTCAGCACTCACCTCTACCATGGTCATATTTTTTTGGTTGACTGCAGATAAACGATCAGCCTCCCTAATTTTACTTGTAGCCTCTCTTAGCAGATCTTGAGCATCATCAACTTTGGTGTGGTAGCTTGCTAGCTTGTCCCGGACCTCATTTTTGAGATCCTCATTTTTCTCACTGGGCTCACCAAACAATTTCTTCACCTTGTCCAAAAGATCTTCTGCATTCCTG